CAATGCCGCGGCTGCCTGTTATTGTTAACAATATTTTTCAATACAATTTTCCCTTGATTAAAATATGCAATGCACTTGTTTTCCGCCCAAGCATCCAGCCGAGCCATATATTCCCTTGGCCAATGACAATCTACGATGCTTGCCACTTTGCCGCTTAACTTAATCGTAGTCTATTTACTCGAGCATGTGACAAGTGCAAGGCGCTTTAAAATGAATTTATTCTTTTGCGAATAAATCAGCACGTCTTTATTCTCAATAAGTTTCCCGTATCCTGTTCCAGTTTCATGTTTCCAAAATATTTCTCGCCCTTGTTGTTTACTTTGTGCATTTATAATTTACACTCCTTGCCTTGTTTTTCTTGCTGCTTATCTCTGGGCTCAGAAAGTTCGAACTGGCTAAAAGTTTTTAATGAGCAACGACGTTGGACGTCATCGTCCTTGCCCCAGCAGCTTCCCTTCGTTCTCCACCCGCTACAAGCACGCGGAATTCCTTCCCAAATTTGTTGTGCATCTTTGCAAAATGTTGGAGTGAAATCGTGACAGGGAGATGGAGGGCAAACAATTATCAAAAGCTTTAACTTTTTCAACAAGTATTGTTTCTTTTTTTCATCAAAATTGTATCCAATTTATTTTAAAGCTAGAGATGAAGCCAAATTTAATTGCATTTATGGTAATGGTAAAGGGTCATACCGAATGTTATAAGATACTGCATAAGAAAAAGTTTGGCAAATTGTTTAATTAACTAATTTCTACAGCCACTAATTCATACTAACTTTTAGAAAATAAATAAATTACTAATTTGTAATGTAGGTATTATAGGGATATATATAGGGAGAAGGATGTATAGTGGGAAATCGATCTAGAAATCGTTTAAGGTACTCCGCTTGAGAATCGGATGAGAATTGGGGAAGATATAGCCTTCAATGTGGCCCATATAGGGGAAAACCCCATTTTCAAGGGATCCCATCACAAAAAATGGACAAAAAATCTAAAAAATATTTTGTATCAAGATTTTAATGCAGAAAGGTGCGAAATCAACCCAGAAATCGTTTAAGGTACTCCGCTTGAGAATCGGATGAGAGTTGAGGAAGATATAGCCACCACTCTGGGCCAAGTAGGAGAAATCCCCATTTTCACGGGATCCCATCACAAAAAATGGACAAAAAATCGTAAAAATATTATGTCTCAAGATTTTAATGCAGAATGGTGCGAAATCGATTCAGAAATCGTTTAAGGTACTCTGCTTAAGAATCGGATGAGAATTGAGGAAGATATAGCCATCACTGTGGGCCAAATAGGGGAAATCCCCATTTTCAAGGGATCCCATCACAAAAAATGGACAAACAATTTTAAAAATATTATGTCTCAAGATTTTAATGCAGAATGGTGCGAAATCGATCCAGAAATCGTTTAAGATACTCTGCTTGAGAATCGGATGAGAATTGAGAAAGATATAGCCATCACTGTGGGCCAGATAGGGGAAAACCCCATTTTCAAGGGATCCCATCACAAAAAATGGACAAAAAATCTAAAAAATATTTTGTATCAAGATTTTAATGCAGTACGGTGCGAAATCAATCCAGAAATCGTTTAAGGTACTCCGCTTGAGAATCGGATGAGAATTGAGGAAGATATAGCCATCACTGTGGGCCAAATAGGGGAAATCCCCATTTTCAAGGGATCCCATCACAAAAAATGGACAAAAAATCTTAAAAATATTATGTCTCAAGATTTCAATGCAGAATGGTGCGGAATCGATCCAGAAATCGTTTAAGGTACTCCGCTTGAGAATCGGATGAGAATTGAGGAAGATATAGCCATCACTGTGGGCCAAATAGCGGAAATCCCCATTTTCAAGGGATCCCATCACAAAAAATGGACAAAAAATCTTAAAAATATTATGTCTCAAGATTTCAATGCAGAATGGTGCGGAATCGATCCAGAAATCGTTTAAGGTACTCCGCTTGAGAATCGGATGAGAATTGAGGAAGATATAGCCATCACTGTGGGCCAAATAGGGGAAAACCCCATTTTTCAAGGGATCCCATCACAAAAAATGGACAAAAAAGCTAAAAAATATTTTGTCTCAAGATTTTAATGCAGAATGGTGCGAAATCGATCCAGAAATCGTTTAAGGTACTCTGCTTAAGAATCGGATGAGAATTGAGGAAAATATAGCCATCACTGTGGGCTAAATAGGGAAAATCCCCATTTTCAAGGGATCCCATCACAAAAAATGGACAAAAAATCTAAAAAAATATTTTGTATCAAGATTTTAATGCAGTACGGTGCGAAATCAATCCAGAAATCGTTTAAAGTACTCCGCTTGAGAATCGGATGAGAATTGAGGAAGATATAGCCATCACTGTGGGCCGAATAGGGGAAATCCCCATTTTCAAGGGATCCCATCACAAAAAATGGACAAAAAATCTAAAAAATATTTTGTATCAAGATTTTAATGCAGTACGGTGCGAAATCAATCCAGAAATCGTTTAAGGTACTCCGCTTGAGAATCGGATGAGAATTGAGGAAAATATAGCCATCACTGTGGGCTAAATAGGGAAAATCCCTATTTTCAAGGGATCCCATCACAAAAATGGACAAAAAATCTAAAAAATATTTTGTATCAAGATTTTAATGCAGTACGGTGCGAAATCAATCCAGAAATCGTTTAAGGTACTCCGCTTGAGAATCGGATGAGAATTGAGGAAGATATAGCCATCACTGTGGGCTAAATAGGGAAAATCCCCATTTTCAAGGGATCCCATCACAAAAAATGGACAAAAAATCTAAAAAATATTTGGTATCAAGATTTTAATGCAGAAAGGTGCGAAATCAACCCAGAAATCGTTTAAGGTACTCCGCTTGAGAATCGGATGAGAATTGAGGAAGATATACCCACCACTGTGGGCCAAATAGGAGAAATCCCCATTTTCACGGGATCCCATCACAAAAAATGGACAAAAAATCGTAAAAATATTATGTCTCAAGATTTTAATGCAGAATGGTGCGAAATCGATCCAGAAATCGTTTAAGATACTCTGCTTGAGAATCGGATGAGAATTGAGAAAGATATAGCCATCACTGTGGGCCAGATAGGGGAAAACCCCATTTTCAAGGGATCCCATCACAAAAAATGGACAAAAAATCTAAAAAATATTTTGTATCAAGATTTTAATGCAGAATGGTGCGAAATCGATCCAGAAATCGTTTAAGGTACTCCGCTTGAGAATCGGATGAGAATTGAGGAAGATATAGATACTGTGAGCCAAATAGGGGAAAACCTCATTTTCAAGGCATCCCATCACAAAAAATGGACAAAAAATCTAAAAAATATTTTGTCTCAAGATTTTAATGCAGAATGGTGCGAAATCGATCCAGAAATCGTTTAAGATACTCTGCTTGAGAATCGGATGAGAATTGAGAAAGATATAGCCATCACTGTGGGCTAAATAGGGAAAATCTCCATTTTCAAGGGATCCCATCACAAAAAATGGACAAAAAATCTAAAAAATATTTTGTATCAAGATTTTAATGCAGTACGGTGCGAAATCAATCCAGAAATCGTTTAAGGTACTCCGCTTGAGAATCGGATGAGAATTGAGGAAAATATAGCCATCACTGTGGGCTAAATAGGGAAAATCCCTATTTTCAAGGGATCCCATCACAAAAAATGGACAAAAAATCTAAAAAATATTTTGTATCAAGATTTTAATGCAGTACGGTGCGAAATCAATCCAGAAATCGTTTAAGGTACTCCGCTTGAGAATCGGATGAGAATTGAGGAAGATATAGCCATCACTGTGGGCCAAATAGGGGAAATCCCCATTTTCAAGGGATCCCATCACAAAAAATGGACAAAAAATCTAAAAAATATTTTGTATCAAGATTTTAATGCAGTACGGTGCGAAATCGATCCAGAAATCGTTTAAAGTACTCCGCTTGAGAATCGGATGAGAATTGAGGAAGATATAGCCATCACTGTGGGCCGAATAGGGGAAATCCCCATTTTCAAGGGATCCCATCACAAAAAATGGACAAAAAATCGTAAAAATATTTTGTCTCAAGATTTCAATGCAGAATGGTGGGAATCGATCCAGAAATCGTTTAAGGTACTCCGCTTGAGAATCGGATGAGAATTGAGGAAGATATAGCCATCACTGTGGGCCAAATAGGGGAAATCCCCATTTTCAAGGGATCCCATCACAAAAAATGGACAAAAAATCTTAAAAATATTATGTCTCAAGAGTTCAATGCAGAATGGTGCGGAATCGATCCAGAAATCGTTTAAGGTACTCCGCTTGAGAATCGGATGAGAATTGAGGAAGATATAGCCATCACTGTGGGCCAAATAGGGGAAATCCCCATTTTCAAGGGATCCCATCACAAAAAATGGACAAAAAATCTTAAAAATATTATGTCTCAAGATTTTAATGCAGAATGGTGCGAAATCTATCCAGAAATCGTTTAAGGTACTCCGCTTGAGAATCGGATGAGAATTGATGAAGATATAGCCATCACTGTGGGCCATATAGGGGAAAACCCCATTTTCAAGGGATCCTATCACAAAAAATGGACAAAAAATCTAAAAAATATTATGTCTCAAGATTTTAATGCAGAATGGTGCGAAATCGATCCAGAAATCGTTTAAGGTACTCTGCTTAAGAATCGGATGAGAATTGTGGAAGATATAGCCATCACTGTGAGCCATATAGGGGAAAACCCTATTTTCAAGGGATCCCATCACATTAGTACTTAGTATTAAGTAGGAATTTTTATAGATTTCAGTTATGTTATGGGCGGGCGCAAGGATATATCTATAGCGAGGAGGCATCTGCCAAGAAAGAGGTAACTTTTTCGTTGAGAAGAGAAGTGGAAGGCCAAATGCTTAAATTAATACCTTATGTCATAGCCGTAACAAAGTGATTCAGTTACGGCTATTTAATTAAATTTATTCAAAAACTTTAAAAGTGAGTTTTTATGCTTCATCCCGTCATTGCAATTCTAACTTTAGTACAATGAAGTTGGCTTTTCTTATCGTTTCTATATTGTCCTTCGTTGGTGTTTCCTTCAGTGCAAAGGATCGTAAGTGTGGAAAAAACCTGTGAGCCTAAAATTAATTTTTTTTTTAACTTTTGTTTTTAGCAAGCTGCGTCCTTGAACTAAGTTATAAGGGTCTTTGTAAAATGATTGCTTTTGGTTTTACTTATGATAAAACTAATAACAAGTGTATTCCCACGGAGGGACAGTGTCGTGGCATTGGAAATTTCTTTAGGGAAGAAAATGATTGTGTGTCTAAATGCACAAAATAAGAAAATGAATTCTTCATCGATATTACGTTATCAACTTCCATTATATCATCTGTAATCTGTAAAAAATGCGAAGACGTAACCATATAAATCATATGTGTATAACGAAATAAAAAATATAACTTGAACTAACTTTTATATTAATGTGAATTGATTTATTTTAAATTAATTAAAGCCAATTTTAATTTTATTTTTTCTTATTAATTCTGGTGACGATGTTGTATAATTTTCTTACCAAATGTAAGGCCAAATGTTTGGTGTAATAGTTATACCATAACGAAATTATTCAGTTATAGTTATTTAATTTATTAAAAGCCTTGTAAAACTAATTTTTTTTTCATCTTGTCACTGCAATCCATACTTTAGTATAATGAAGTTGGTTTTTATAATCATTACTGTATTATCCTCTGTTGGTGTTTCCTTCGAAAAGGATCGTAAGTGTCGAAAGAAAAGCGTGGGACTAAAAATTAATCTTCCCCTTTTTGTTTTTAGCAAAGTGCGGCCTTAACCTACAATATAAAGGCTCTTGTAGAGTGATTGCCTTGGGTTTTACTTATGATAAAACTATTAACAAGTGTACTCCCACGGCCGGACCGTGTCAAGGCACTGGGAATTTCTTCGTGAGAGAAAGTGATTGTGTGACTAAATGTAATGACATATGTTATGACATTTGCAAGAAAAAACAAAAAGGTTGAATTTTTTGATATATTGGGTCAAATTTTATTAAAAACCTGGTGGTGTAAGCAGATTAATTTTCGATCGATGTAGGTTGAACAAAATGCACTATATGCATGCATATATGTATATGCATCTGTAAAAAGTACCAAGCCGAAAAAATAAATCATAGAAGTATAATAAAAAAATATCACTTTCACTTTTTTTTTTTTGAAAACTATCGTGAAATAATGAACGGTTTTGTAGATATTAAATTATTTGACTCAATCCCCACACTCAATATCTCTACATTTAAAATTTTAAACCTAACCTTAGCCTAAATTGAAACCTAAACCATTTTTAAGCCTTATTTAAAAATCAGGAAATTAAAAAATTTGAATATAATAAATGAGGATAAAACTGGTTTCGAAACATAAATGACCTTAAAGAGGCTGCAATAAACATACCTCTTTAAGTATGAATATTTCGAAGTGCTTTGGAATTCCGAACATTCTTGGTCGTGTGCAAAGTGCATTTAATTGCAACTGCAGGTCAAGTGGCCGCCAAAGCAAAGCCGCAACGCGAACACATGGTCTAAACAAGGCTCTCGGCCCGCCATCAAGTTGCTCTTTTTGTCATTTATGCTTTTTAGAACTCTCGTAGCTGCGCATGCGTAGGGAGTGGATTGGGGAATCGGAGTGGATGGGCGAGTGGGTGGCTCGTTGCCACTTTAAGGGCATTACTGCACTCCAAACGCTAAGCCGCAATCTTGGCGAAGGTGAAATTCGTGGAATTTGTTCAAGGTGACGCTGGCGGTGGCGGTGGCGTCTTTGTTGGCTGCCAAAAGGCAAATCCGTCAACAAATTGGTGGTGATTAGGCGCCAACTCCCATGTGCCCGCTCCCGGAGGCGCGAGAGCCGACAGCGGCACTCCCACATAACACCGCCCGCCGGCAAGCCGCTCAGACAGTCACTCGACCTCCCTCGGTCATCCTAGCAGCCAGCCATCCAGTTTGTCGGTCAACAATTTAGACATAATTTGAAACGTTGCTTCGTTCCACACGCAATGCGCCTGCCTCGACATAAGCGACGCTTACGCAATGGCCACATGTCCAAATTATGCATAATTTGAGCGTTCAGTGCGGTGGGTGGTGGGCTGGTATGATGGTTTGTCCCACAAATGTGGGGGGCGACAGCCAGCTGGGGACAAGGGAGTCACAGGTAAGCCGCCCGCGTGTTGATGGTCTGGGACTGGCCAGTGGCCCCCTCCGCCCCAGTGCACCCCCCATAAATTGGCATTAGTTTTGGGCGCGGTGGCCATTTTTGTGTGCATCGCCGAAAGTGGCAGCCATCGGTGGCTTAATAACTTTTATGCGTGTTTGCATATCGCTCTTGCACCGGGATTGATCGAAAATACAGACGAAAAACTCTCCACCCCATTGCACCACGGGGAATTATGAAAAATTTGTTAGAAAAAGTGCATGAACTAGATAACCAAAGAGATTGCGACTTTGCCGGTAAACTCGTTAAAAAATGAATTTCGATTAAAGCGATTGACGACGGGCATATGTCAGAAGCAATCCATTTCAAAGTTGATGAGGTTGTAACAATTTTAGACTGGACTAGCTGATGGGTTAATGTGTCTGTGGTCAGTGGGAAATTAATGTAACTTAATGAGATTATTAGATTGTGGTGGATCGTTAATCGCTTGCGGTTCAGAGCATGTAACTTCATAGCTAGTCTATAACAAATAGATACCATTTGCAGTCTAGCAACTTTATCAATTATTAAACCAATTCAAAATCCAGTACTTCTCAACTCTAGCAAGTCAGGGCTGAAAAATGTCGCTTGTTTCGTATTATTAGGGTTATTACTTCATGAGAATTTATCAACATCATCCACCGCCACCAGGGCCACCTGTTTATGATAAAGGGCAGCTTGGGATGGGTGGATGTATCAACATGTAAAGCAGATTATGTTAAACAGCTTCATGAGCTTGACACACGGCGTCGCGTCAGTGTGATAAGCCGGTAAACACGCAGGTAAGTTAAGAAAAAAATCAAATCAAATTTTATTATGGTACTTTGTGGCTGATTTGTGGTCGTCGAGAATTTGATTACTCATTACATTTTATATATGTATGTACGTATATCTCGGTAACACAAAATATTTAATATATATCGTTGAATATACTTTGGAGTTGAACGAGAACTTGCTTCTTGTCCAATATGGGGTCACTTTTCGGGTACGTTGCACTGCAGGCAGCTCTCCATTTGGGCGGTATAGTCCTCGATCTGGATGGTCGTCTCAAAAAAGTTGTAGCGCAAATGAACCGCCGAAGTGGCTGCATCCAGGATCTGCTTTGGATTTGCATTGGCAGCTACAGGGGAAGAGAGAGTGAAAGAGAGAGAGAAGGAAACGATTAGCCAGCATCACAAGGATAACGTTAATGGGGGGTGGACAATGGCCAATGGGCAACTGCCAACTTGCAACTCCATTCACTGGTACTCGCCCTCGCTCTATCAAAATTGTCCACGCTTAAAAAGCCATTTCAAAAATAATTAAGCTAATTGCTCACTGTCTGCCCATGGACATGGACATGGTAGGGACTAGGAGCAGGACTGCAAGGGGGACCAACGCTTAAAACAACAACAAATCCATTGGGATAATTACCATCCATGCCCAAAAGCACACACACAATCCCCCCGGACGGCGGACAAACACATGCATCAGCGCAAACGGCGCCCAACGACGACCTTTCTGGTCTGATTCGGTTTGGTTTGGCCTGGTCTGGTCCGGCTGAGCCACAAGGCCAAACTGAACGCCAGTGCCCCCGGCTGGTACTTACCAATGGCCAAATGCGCAGATAGCGCCACTTTATTAATGCTCAGCGCCCAGATGCGCAAATTGTGCACCCGCTCAACGCCCTCGATGCCTTGGAAAATCTGCAGGACCTCCGCGTAGTGCATGTAGTTGGGGGTACCCTCCATCAGCACCTGTCGGGTAACGAAACAACGTAATTTACATTTAATCCGATCTGGCGCACAATACGCTCAAGATTGCAATATGAATGGCTGTTCTTTAATTGTTTTCATTGCAAACAATTTTACATTACTTCTCCCATAACTCAATTATATTAATCGAGTTGTCAATTAACGTCGGCAATTTAAATGCAATAGACTTCGAATTCATAATTTCTGATTTTTTAAACCGCTTTAAAGCCTTCATATGTTTTTTAAGTATGTATAATTGCTTTTGGGATTAACAACCTAAAGCAATGCAAAGATTTCAATTATTTTTTATTGTCGGCTTTAAAAACGTGTTTATATATTTTTAATTACTTTATGCAAATGCCAGAAATTCAAAAGCCCTCAAACATTTAAGTTTAACCTTTCAAGCCAAAAAAAATGGAAACCAAATAAATATTTAAAAAAATGGCATGGTACATAATATCGAACCCCAATACTCACCAGTAGGGCATCCTTCATGATCGTAAATGTGGTAAAGAGCACAATGATGGAGAAGACAAACGTGCAGATGGGATCAACGATGGCATACTCCGGCCAGAAGTATATCACGCCAGCGGCGACAAACACTCCCACACTCTGGATGACATCGCCAATCACGTGAATGAGAGCGGCCCGGACATTCATGTTGACGGCTTCGCGGCCGGCGGATCCTCCATGATGATGGGCACCGGGTGCAGTCTCGGCCAGAACGGCGGCGATTTCCAAGTCCAGACTAGGATCGACCAGCTTGGCGTTCTGGTAGGAGTAGGTCGGCAGTCCGCTGCCCGGCAGCTCGGCATCCTCAGGGGCAAAGGTCACTCCGCCCTCAATGCGTTGCGTGGGCGAGGCGGAGCAGGGCGTGGATGTGGCATGGACGTGGGGCGGCATCTGCTTTAGCTTTTTGGACTTCTTCGAGGGTGCACCATGGCTGTGACCATGTCCTCCGCCCAGGCCATGCGAGTGCCCGTGCTGCAGCTGGACGCCCATTCTGGCCAAAACGAAGGGTTGGGAAATTGAAAACGTTATCACAAATATTTAATATGCTTGAAAATGTTGCAAGCTATGTTGAGCCGGTCGGCCAACCGGCTCTGTGTCCAACTTTCAACCCAACTCCCAACATCCCATTCCTGTCTGGGCCACGTTAGCCAGGCCACAGTACGAAAACAAAAACGCACCCAAAATGTATTTTTTTTTTTTTCGTTTTCCTGTGTTTTATTTGCTGGCCCAAGAGGGGTGCTCCGGTATGCGGGAAACGCTTTTGCATTGTTTGGCATTTTATTTCAGCATTTTAATGCACCAACAACACTCGCACCGCACAGTCAAGCAAACACAGCCAGGTCACGAACAGTGGGATCAGGAATCACTTTTTCTATGAAATTATTCCTCTATAAAAGATTTCAAAATTGGCAACTACACTCTACACACCAACTAAGTAATAGAAAAATTTCTCTACAAAACAACCCCGAAAAAACTTGTTTATATAATATTATTCATCATATAATATTCATATATAATTTGATCAATAAAGAAGTACCAGTATTCTTTAAAGATCCATACAAATTATTTTTAATTGATCCATTATGACCATTTGGCAACCATTAGCTAAGTGTAATAACAGACTTTCTCTCGCATTTATTTCCAAAACCCTTTAACTAGACTCTATAGGTTTGCAGTCATTTCCATAAATCAATTAAATTTTTCTTTGCAAAAATAAATAATTTTAGGCACTGTTCTCCAGCTCCGGCCGGCACCACGGGGGGAGCCCTGTGTACCGGAAGGTGTGTGCGAGCCCTGTGCAAGGGATCCTCCGAGCCGACCATCCAAACTAACCGCTCCTGTCCGATTTCGACCGACCCGACCCCAGGCCCATCTGGGCTGCTCCAGTTCAGTACGTCCGGACACATTGCCGCATGCAAATACAAATGTATTGTCGAAAATGGCAACCGGTTGACTAACCCACTCCCGGTTCCACGCCTCACAGCTCCCGCGCCACCACCCCCGGGGTGCTCTCTGGCCGGCCTCTCGGCTCACGGCATGCATCAGGCAGTTAATAGCTCGGCACATTGACTTTTTATTCATTTTAAATGCTCCGACATTGCAGATTTATGGGTTTTCTATTTGGGGAAAAAGGCCATGGTCGACCAACCGACATACCAACGGACCAGCGACCGGGCTGGGGGACACTGGACGGAACCGAATTCTCTCTGTGCTCCGTCCGCCGTTGCCAATGCCGCCGGCTGCACTTAGGCGGCTTTCGGCCGAAACAATGCAGTTTCGAGCATCAATAAATAAACTCGCATAAATTACGCACAACCATTGGCAGGACCAAACACAAAGCCCAAAGTGAGCAGTCTTTGGCGGCTCAAACGGATAAAGCTGTTTGGGGCTGCAACGCGGTTCCGACCATTCTAGACGACCCTGTTCGGATGTCAACGACTTTGGCTAATTGACGTCAAACCTAATACGGACATCTTGGATACGGATAGAACATAAATTATTCCGTAAATTATATAATATATTAACTGATTTGTAGCAGAAGCTTATTAATTTGATTGGATGTCATTATTTCCATAACCATAAGTGGACTTCAAATCAATTCACATTGATAACATTCCAAACTAATGAGAAATGAGTAAATTACATTATCTAATTGCTGCTAAAATTGCTGCTATCCACACATTACAATCGGAATATTAAATGCATAAATTTCATTTTTGATAGTCCCATAAATTTGTATCTGAAAATTTAACGGCAATAGATTTATTCGTGGAACGTAAAAGTAAATTTAAAAGTTACTCCGCTTTTGTGGCCCTTGGCATTTTCTCGATACAGTCATAGCGAAAAAGCTTTTTACGAGGTTCCGTCCCCTTTTTATTCGCGTGGACTGTCTTAGACACACTGCAGGTCAAATAAATACCAACACTCGGTTGTAAAAAGCGCGTTAATACGAGTGCAATAAACGTGTCCGGCTGTCTTTATTCTTTGGTCTTGTGGTCTTAGTTCTAGACGGAGCTCTGCGCTGGGCTCCAACCCCGTCCTTGTTCCAGAGTCGACAGCTTAACGAGCCACTCATCCGGGTGACAGATCAGACCAAAGCAGACCACACCAGAACCGGGCAAACCAAGACCAGGTCGTGGAGCAGAGCTCTCCCATCATGGCCCAAGACATTCTCAGTGGCTGCAAATCCTGGCAACAGTCACATACGCGACCAAAGCCCAACCAAGCCAAGCAGAGCCACGCCAAGGCGAGCTGAGTCAAGATATGCGCTAATATTTATGTTCCTGTCAATTAAATCAGGACATGGCACATACGCTGCCAGGGCTGCCGCCCTGAGCCAGGAGCCCGCCAGGATTCTTTACCCACCGCGTGCCCCGTGGCTCGCCGCTGAGTCGCTGGTCCCGGCACCGAGTCCTGGTGTTGTCATGGCTGATGTCGTTTGTTGGCCACTAACGAGGCGAGTAAAGATGCCGCAAAATCAAGGGGAAATGCTTCATTGCGCGCTACAAATTACAGCGACACAGTTGGAACAACAATGCCGAGCTGGCGGAGCTTGGGCGGAGGTAGCGGAGGTGGCGCGGCTGCCGGGGCCAATGTCGCTAGCATTGGCATTTTTTGCGCTCGAGGACACACACACACAGACGGGGTGGGAGTGACGAGGGGCCGTGGTCGGAGTAATGCCTTGGCAATCGGATGTTCAAAGTCGAAAAGCGTATGTGCACGGCATGGAATCTCTGGCACCACCATGGGAGCCCCACCGCTGACCACGTGGCCACGGAACTGGGATCAGTGGTGAGGGAAATTGCCGGACTCGGGGGTTCCTACTGCCAGTGTTGGTTGTTTTTAAGAGGGGCGAAGTAATACAAATTTGGCAAGGATAAGGTCATATTTGGTTAGATATAGGGTTTATTAAAAAGTGCACCCAAAATGTACAATGTCTTCTAAGAAATAGTTTTTAACATTTCCTATTTTCTACTTGACATTTCTAAGCTTTTTCTAATGCTATCATTTGGCAGCACTACTTCCTAGCGCTCGGTACCATTCCGTACAATTTATTTAGTGCCCATCAACGCACTGGCCCACAAGAAGCAGCCCCTACCGTGGCCCATCCTCCATCAGCGCTTATATTTATTTGCTCCTTGCTTTTCTTTCTGGTGTCTCGTATTTTTTGTTGCTGTTTGACAAATTATGGCCACATTTGGCCTGGTAGCTTCTTCGCCCAGTGCCGGCCGGGCCATCGCAGCGTGGTCTTAGAAATTGAAAATGAAATTGAGTTGTCAGGCTAACAAGCTTTCGGCTAGCTTCGGTCTCAAGTGGCTGGCCAAAATGGAGAAACGAATGACTGACGACCAGTCTCAATATTCACATGTCGAACACTCAGTACAAGTAAGTATCTGGTAGGAGGCACGGTAAGTGGCCAATACATCAAAGAAATTATTGAGAATAATGAAGAAAATAACGATGAGGCTTCCCCGACGTACATACTTCAAATTGTGACCAAAACACCAGAAACAATTGATGGGAATGGAAATGAGTAAGAAGGACCTTGCAAGATGGCTGCCTTGAAAAATGGCGTCAGACTCTAAACTTTAAGACTCTGAAAATCACCTTGTTTAAACTTTAAAGTACAAAACCGTCAGGAAAATAAACTTGATTAAATTTTCAAGATTCCACCTACATACGGTCCATCCTTCCCTCTTTCATATCAAATTTATTTGATTGCTTTAAAGAAAAAATTCCGTTGTGCATTCATCCATCTGTCCTAACTGCCATTCCCGTTGCTAAGCGCCTTCATCGCCACACTCTGGTTGTAATTGCTTTAGCACCTCTCTGCCACAAGCTGTCCCGCCCCCTGTCTTCCCACCACAGGATCCTCTCATATTTCACTGGCATTTGCTCTCGCTAATGTCCCACTTGCAGTTTAAGGTCAGGCTTTATGAGAGCTTGTGTGTGTTCGTGTATTGGTGTGTATGATGTGTACAGTAAAGCTTAAGTTGGACGAACCAGATATACGGGCAATAAATCGGGTATTTCAATCAATAAGGAACATATTGAAACACTAACATTTTATCAATTAAAATTATATTTTAATAAATATTTACTAATTGAAACACATCATTATATGATACAAACAGATTTCTACTTTTTTGATGGTCCTTCTCTAAACTTAAATGAAATGAAAAGCAATTAGATTCAATTTAGTCTTTAATATCACAATATCTTATTATGATAGGCAACATATATTTTCTTTTTTTATATTCCTGGATTTTCTTTCTTTAGATTTAATGGTATTAAATTCCTCACGGAATGTTATAAATTGATAGTATATCATACTATGAATTGTATGTAAGCCTTTTCAATTGGAAATATATATTGTAAAAATTAGGAAATGAATAGATATCCTAATAGAATCTTTTTTAACATCTTAGACGTTCCTAAACTTAAGATGGAGTATATTTTTTTAGTTTAGAGTAGACTCGATTAGATTCAGCTTAAATCTTTGTGTACAATTTCTTGTATTCTTATCTATAATTAGGCACACCGTATTAGTTTCTTGCAATAAATTAAAAATAAACATATATTTCGAACATGATGGATCAAATTCTTGCCTTTTGATTGCCCCCCTTCAGTTCTAAAATTATAAATCGAGTTCCGAATTCGTCCAATAAAATTTTACCGTACTAGAGATTTTATTCGACTCTCTCTTTTTTTGCTTTCTCCGACCAATTTCTGCTTTCTCCATTTGCCTCGCCGTCGCTGCTTTGGCCGTCCTAATGGGCGTTTTAACGATGTGAAGTCGACGGACGTCGTTGGCGCCACTCAAAAGTTAACCCAGTAACAACAACAAAAACAACAGCAGTTCACAAAGCAACCGGAAACTTCTGTGCGTGTGTGTGTGTGAGTGCGGTCTGTGTGTGTATGAGTGTTTTCCTGCTATTTTCGGCATTGTGCTAATTGAACTAAAAACTGGGCAAAAAAAAAAATACCCAGAGAGCGCTCAACGACTAAATGAAACTAAGTAAAAAGCCTTCAATAACAGTAAGAGCAACTTGGACTGCAAAATAGTTGAAATTTGCTGCAAACTCGTTCACAAAATCGCATAACGGTAAAAGGTGGCCATTTAATTTCGTTGTTCGAACACAGGTTGAGTCCCGACGATGAAGAAGAAGAAACGGAAGTGGAAGACGTTAAATGGGAAGCGGACGAGAAAGAAGCTACAGCATTGACTTGACCTAACTTTCTACTTTTATGGCAGCATCCAAAGATGGCCTTAGCCACACCTTCCCCCATACTCGGCCATAGTCTTCTTGGCCACAATCTCTAAGCCAGGAGAGTTGCTTCTGCTGCACGTTTTTCACAATCAATTCACGTAATCAAACAATTCAAGTGGCAAACACTGAAAATGCCAACGTCAACTGGAAAATTTTTGCGCTACCCGACCAACTGCCAACAACAGCAACAGCAACAGCAACATTCGCTGAGCATAGGTGAGTGCAAAATGCAGGGGGAGGTGGCGAGAAAGCGCCACACATAACGTGTGTTTGTGTGAGGATGAGGGTGAGAAGCTGCCGCTCAGCTCGCCATTGAACGTTGCGATTTATGCGCCAAAAACTATGCTTCGACAGCCACATGAATGAGCATCACAGAAGGCGGGGGCTGCTGAGGGATAAGGACGCAAGAGGAGGCGTTGCATGCTTGCAGGTGCACTCCACGAAATCAAAACAAGTGGACCGATTAACTATTTAAGTAACGAATATTAAATACTCTTCAAATAATACAAAAATAATAAATTTTTAGATCAACCAAATTGGAGCTACCTTTAAAAGCAAAAGGCAATCGTAAGGTATCTTATAACATGAAACTAATCAAATTAAATAAATGAAAGCACAAAAATAAGTATACCTTATAGACAGTCTTTTAACTTAATAAATAAACCAACAAATTGTGTTATGAATTACCTTTAATTTCCTAAAATCAATTATACAAGTACAATAATTATTTACAAAAAAAAACTGACAAAGCTAGCAAGAGAGCTCAAAATTTCTGGCTAAAACTCAGAATAGCTGTGTAAACATAAAAGCAATTGGGAAATTGAAATAGAATTAAATAAGGCGTTCAACTTTGCTGGTTCGATTTATTTTTAGGTTGCTAAAGTAAAATGAAATCCTGTGGCATGAGACTCCCCATTGGCTACCGTTTCGAGCCATATCGAAGCCCTCTTCGATGGCATGCTACCCCATTCCCGTTTAGAGAATTCTCCACCTCTGGGGCTGGCCAACACAAACACAAGCAAACTCCTTGTCGACGTCGCTTTTGGCTTTTGTTGACGCAAGAGGGAAAAATAAAAAAAATGGGAAAAAAAAGAGAATGAAACGAGAAGAAATTCTAAACTTGTGGAAAAAGTTGTCGCTAAAATGTGGAGAAAGTTGCCGCAACAACTGGCAAATACGTAAGGGAACGCTCGCCGAGAATGGGAATGGGAATGCGAATGGGCCAAGGGATCGGGCCACATTTGCAGTGCAGTTCTGACCCATTTGCCGGCCTGGCCCTTGCCCGGGACAAGTTGATTGCGGCAATTGCAATTGGAAAACTGCCCGAGGGAAAACAGAAAAACTTTGCAGTCACACGAACAGACAACCGGTCGGAGTTGGACTTAGACTGACGTCCCCCAGACAGTTTGGCATCGAAGATCTGCATATCGGATGGGCAGTACTTACATGACATTAACCAATATGGCCAGACCCGATGTGATCAGCATGATCTTGGCATCCACTTCGTAGTCGCCGCTAATGAGGCGTCCGATGGCCAGCCAGACGAGGATTCCAGTGATGACCCAGATCATGAAGACAGAGGCCATGGCTCCGATGACCTCTGCGCGGTACCAGCCGAAGGACATCCTGTCAAAGATAAAGTTAAAAGAGTTAAGTTAATGAAGTCTTGATAGGAAGTCGGAAAAAGTTTATGAGAAATAAGTTAAGAATGTCACTTATAGTAAGAGCTGATAAAGTTTAAAAAGATCTAACTATAAGGGTCTATACGCGCTTTAAAAGTTAAATACTTTAAAGTACAGATACAAATTGCAATAAAATCAGAAACAGATTAAGCCCCCAATTGACAACCCGTCAAATTTTAGGCATAAGCTGGCTCGCATTGTAATTCTACATCAATAACCTTCATAAACCCCTCAAAGCACAATTCTGACACATGAGATAAGCTCCTCAGCCACACAACGCAGTACAAATTGAAGTTGACACTGAGCCTGGCGAGTGCGGGGATGTTAAAAATTAACATGAGTTGATAAATGTGACCAAAATTTGTCAAATGCTATTTTAATTTCAGTCTCACAGGTTTGTACTTTTTGGGGCGCGGTCTCGCCCCCCAGATGATAATTTTCGGGCCCGAAATGAGCCCCACTCGAGGGGGGAGGGTTTTTTGAATTTCCCTAATGTAACGAGCGTTTTGCATGTGCGTCCCCGCTGCTAATTTTTTTGTATATTATTTTTTGGTTGGGTCAAAGTCAACACCTGAACGACGGCAGCGGTAACGGAGACGGTGACGGCGACGGCGACGAAGTCAAGGGTCGTTCAATTAAAGCCAAACCCAGACCAGAAAACAAGCCATGCCGCATCAGAGCGAACCAAAGCCACCAGACCATACCCACCGAGCCACCAACCCACTAGCCCACCGAACCACCGGTAACCGACAGGTAAAAAGGGGGCGGCTACGGGGCTACCACTCTCGTTATAAAATTGAAATAATGGCAAAAGGCAACAATTTTGCCAGCCTGCTAACTAATGCGATGCCAGAAGGCAGCAGGCAGCTACAGCAACGAATGTCTCGCCATAATAATACAATTTAATTTCCAGCAAACATCCGTCGTGTCCCTCATCCTCCCAGCATTCCCTCATTGTGTCAATGTATGGTGGAGCCCTCGGTATATGTGTATACAAATATATATATATACGTTAGTTGGGGCCTTGCAGTTGGCGTTGCAAGTGCAGCCATTTGCTTAATGACCGCCTGCTGCTGCCGGCCCAGACCCCCTAGTCCTTGGGCCTTCGCCCTAGTCCCTCCCAGATGGAGGGCCGCCAGGCAGCACCATCGCTACCTCAATGACGGCTCTGGGTACACTGGGTCTGAATCAAATATAATTAATATAAAGCGGCTGGGTCCCATAATTGGAACTAGCCATAATGGAATTTAATTGATTATCTGGTAAAAGAAATAACTAACTAGAAACTCATTTTAATAGAAATTATTTAATTAAGAAAGTTTAGCATATATGTGCATCAACTCCAAAAAAAAACTCTTAATGATTTTAAAAACCAGTCTAATATACCATATATGATATACATATAGATATATCTAATACTTATGATTATTCCGTTTAATCTATTATATCCAAAAAATACATATCTATTTGAGAAATTGCTCAAAGCTTTTTTGGTATAATATGTATAATTGTTTGCCATGGAACCTAAATTTATATTTAAAAATAATTAATTTATTTCATAGCACTATTCATAATAATAAAACTAATTTTATATAATCCACTGTATTTTTCTTAGTTGTCGTTCATTTTGCATTTCGTTTTCTGCGTTTGCCTTTGCAATTGTGCAAATGTGTTTTGTTTTGATAAATTAGGCTTGTCAACTCGGCAACGCCAGCGCTAGCGCCAAAATGGGTGGAGAGAAGCCCGAAGGAGGAGGCGGGCTGCGAACCGCACTGAAACCAAGCCCGACCAGAAGACCAGGCCCAAAAGAGACGCATTCAACCAGACTGAGCTTGAGACTGAGGCTTAGGCAGAGAGCCCTCGCCTCCGTGCAACATGCAGCACCAACAGCATCATGCATCTTGCACAGAAACACTAAGAACTTGAAAAATTTTAGGGTTCGATTATAAGTTTCTATATTAACATTATATCCAATAATTATTCGTCTTTGAAGTTGCCTAAAAAAGAATGGTAATTTTTTGGAAACAAACCGGGGCGTTGGCCAGAGCTGTTTCAGAAAAACGGGCATCCCTTGAAAACTTTGAGTATTTCTTTAAAATTTTTGGGTTTTTTTTATATCTTTCTGAGCTATACATAATTAGATCTATTTTATCACCTTTTTTTAAGCATATGATAAGCATATAATTTCTTAAAGTGTAGCTACAGCCACCAGAGAGTACAAGACCAACTGGAACAAAAACAGAAGCAACATCAACGCACACCGACTAGGAGATGGAGGCACAGTCTGAGTCTGGTGGCATGAGCGAAATTTACAAAATTACCATGCAACACGCTTGAAATTGCAAAAGTTTTTCATTATTCACTTTGTGGCTGCAGTCGAGTCGTCGAGTGAGTGAGATTTTTGCATGAATGAGCAGAACGTGCCGTTCGCCTCCCTCCTTCTAGTTGAGCGCAAGATGGATGCCATGGCAGGAGGGGCCCCAGTGGTAAAGGGGCAAGGATATGAGAGGGTGCACTGTTCCCAAAGACCAATTGAAAAATGTGCAACGGCCAAACGTATAGTACATAGTACGCAGAGGCAGAGGCACAGACAGAGGCAACAGCAAAAGCAGCAGCAGTGGCAGCAACAGCAATAGCAATAGCAACCATTGCAGCCACAGACGCTGGAGGAAGGCACTGAAAATTTGGAAACAGGCTTTTCGCCTAATTAGACGATGGCGAATGGGAAAATGCAGGCAGCAGCGGAGACACGGCTGCTTGGGAATTCAGAAACACAGGAAGAATAGTCCAGTCGAGCGACAGAAATTATGGTGGCAGTGCAAGCGTATAAAAGTGGAATATAAATTGCATGGCATTGCAGATACACTAGTTTGGAAAAGGGAAGCATCCTTTAAAAGCTTGAAAATATACATAATATTAAAATATAAACGACATAATATTAATATTAAATATTAAATCGTTTGTCATCGTTTGTCATAGAATTCATATATGTATATTATGTCATAATATTAAGTAAAAGTAAACAAATATATGTAGCATCGGTTCTTATTTTAAATAGTTCTTTTTAAAAAGGTTGAAAGATTAGTTATTTATTTACAGCATCACCTGGTAAATTAGATACAGAAATTGCATCCAAAGATTGAAAACAATCGTTACAAATGTTTTGGAGCTATTAAGGACACCTACTCTTTAAGTCCCGGCTATAAAAACTCCAAAAGCTCGTACAATAATAGATATATTATCGAAATTTTTGTCCTATTCTTGAAATATAATTTATTCCTTTAATGTTTAAAAGAAAAATTCTGAAACCTTACTCCTCAATTATTTTTTCATTTCTTTAAAAAAAAACGTTTTGTCCTATAAATCTATTCCCTTAAGCTTATATTATCCCTAATAGATAAATAGACAAAATAACAGTATAAGAAGTCTTCCTTAAAAACTTATTTTTTCAATTGACCATCAGATCTTGGTCATAAATACTCAAGTTACGTTTCAACATTATTTTTTTTTCCAGTAAAGACCCAAATAGTCTGGACCTGCAGTAAAGGAGGGGTTACATATAGCTCGAGGCAAAAGTTGACACCAGACAACGACTAAAAGGAATGCAGAAAAGATTGAAAGTTTACGTTTTATTGATTTCCCTTTCCCCCAGTGACTTCTGGCAGTGTCTTCATTTGCCGTCTCCGGCTGGGAGTACTTACCGCTGCGTAGATGGGCGTCCGGCAATCCAAATGGCAAACAACGAGATCATAAAACTGGCGAAATCGGTGAGCAAATGTGCGGCGTCTGTTGCGATGGCCAGACTGTTCGATAGGACGCCACCTGTTCCAGGTTCCAGGTCGGGTGCGAGAGTAAATAAATGCGCAAAAAATTAACTCGACAATCTGTGGGAATTGTGGATGCTGATTGGGGCTGGAGGTGGCTGGTAGGGGCTGGTAGGGGGGACAATCCCTCGGCTTTTCCCTCGGAAAACAGTAAAAGGGAGGAGTTTTCACTTGCTTACTCTGCTCTTTCGTTCTATTTTTACATTGGAGAGACCCCGGGCAAAACAATTTCGATTTGAAAGCACGACAAAAAAAGTGCAAAGTAAGGGACACAAAAAAAAAATCCTTTCCTCGGACTGGCCCCCGAGTCCTGGTTTCCGTCCGATCCGGGTATGGAACATTGTAGGTAATTGCAAAGCGATTAACGGCAACAGCCGTCGAAGCACCGACGACAACTTCGCCACTCGAAAATTAAATGTTTATTGTATAACCAACGAACCCGCCACCCATTCGCCCCGTGGCCGTCATAACTGGAGGAGGGTTGACAGCAGACAGTAAGCCCTTCCGGTCGCCATATTGTTGCACTTCCGGTCCTCAGTTTTTAATCGTCTCGCCGTTGTCGTTGTCGTCGTCTTCATCGTCATCGTCTCCTTCGTGTCCTTTTTTGCCTTTTATACTGTGTCCTTTTTTTCCTTTCCCATCCGCATTGTTTGACTTAACATTTTTTTGCTTTTCCTCTTTATTTTTTGTTTATTTGTTGGCTCAGATTCTCAGAGGTGAGCAAAATTAGTTTGGGAATTGAGCGAAAAGGGGAAATAGAAAAAGCAATTGAAAGAGCAAGGGTTAAGAGGGAGGGACGCCACCAGGAGACAATAAAAAAGGGGATTTCCCTACATCCACATAAACATTAACTGGACTCACCCACAATTTCAGCAATCATAAAAACCAGACACAATATGCTGGCTATGATCAACTTCCGTCGTGCCTTGATGTCCACGCCTTCGCTTCGGGCCCGATGGCAATGATCTCGCACTGGAAAAGTTCAAAGGATAAAGGATAATTAATACAAAAGAGGTTATTTTTCAAGACATATTTAAGTTGTATTGTTTTTGTAACAAAGGAATTTGTTGAATAACAGTATCAAGTATTATGCAAAAGACTTGTTTTAAACATTTTCAGACTTCAGGTTGGTGTTCGTGTTCGAAACAACTAAAATGTTTATTATTACATATTGGGTTGATTTAATACAAATCCAAAGTTTGATGTGCAGCTTCCCAAAATATAACAATAGCATATTTGAAACAAAAGGATCGCACTTGATTGATTTATTTACATCGTGTTTTCCTATTACTTGTGTATGGAATATGAGTCTTAACAATGTATACAATATCCTCCGCTTCATGTCATTTTGTGATTCTTTTAAGCCCCGATTAAGACTGCCAGGCATACAATTTTTGTTCGAAAGTGTTAAATTAACAATGGGGCTGTCGCCCTGCACATCCATGTGTGTGAAATCGCTCTGGCTCCCCTTTGGGAAATACGTTTTCCCTTTACCCATCTGTTATGCCGTTGCGCAGGCAATACATATTTACAAAACAGGCATTTAAATTTATTTAACATGGTACGTGAATAATGACCACCGACGCTGCTCCTGCTGCTCCGGCTGCTCCTACTTGGCTGCCACGCCCCTCCCATATGGATTCTCTATATGGCCCATTTCCTGGAGTTTCCAAGCTTGTTTTTTATGTTATATTTTCCTTTTGGTTTTATTCTTTTTCGGTGTCAGTGACAGGCGAAAGTTGGTAGTTGCTTGGCTTGGTTTGGTTCGCTGGTTGGCTGGTTGGTTGGTCGGTCGGTCGGCTAGGAGCAGTCTATTAAATACTTTATTGCATTTGTCGCAGCCGTATTTCATGCTTTGTCATTTCCGCTGCATTTTCTTTGCACTTGCCCTGGTGGCTCCCACTCACCCACTCCCGCACACCCATACTCCCTACACCCTCGACATCTCAGATTTTCCCGTTCTGGTCGCCTTGTAGAGCAGCTTTCCATTGTTCGGAGCGGGAAAAGCTGCAAGAGCGTTCAGAGGAAGGTGACTGCATCCACACACACATATGTATGCTCCAGCATATGCTCCACTGCTCTGCAGTTGGGAGCCTTAGAGATGGGCTCGTGATGGGATGTCCCTGATGAGATTTTAATTATCCTAATTACATGGAATTTAAAACATTTCCTCAAAATTTTATTCAGCAGCCCATTGTAGTTTAGTAGCCAAAAAAATCATCTTCCTTTATCCCTTTTTCTTCTTTATATCCTTTATGTTCGAGCGTGTCACCCACCATGTGTGGCATCTCATCACTGGCCAGTCTGTTGGAGTGAGCGCGGTTTCTTCATTTGAATCCAGCGCAAGGCCACCGACACCACCAGGCCTTCGTCTGCCGGCAACCTCTTCCTGCTCTTGCTCCTGTTCCTGCTCCTTCGCCCGTTCACGACTCTCCACAGCCGTGTCCGCATCCGCATCCCCATCCGAATCCTTTGCTTTCACATGCTCCCTCTCGCACTTACACAGTGGCAGTAACAATGCCAGCAGCGAAATTAAATTCCTGTGCATAACCAAAGCCCAGTACTGGAGGTACTGGAACAGCAATGGCACTGGCAGTGGCGAAGATTGTGGCACGTGGAAATTTCACCTATTAGACCCGCATCCAGTTTCGTTGCAGCCGAAGCAGCCGCATGCACTGCAGCCAGCTGATGCATAAGAATCATCATACTTGCAATTTAAACAACTCCGATCCATCTGCATCTTTAATTGGTCACCTTGGACCGTTCGCCTTGTTTGTTTGCGCAATGCGGAAAGTATGTTGGAGATCCAGAGTGCGACAGGTCTCGGGCTTGTTCTCGGTCTCTGGCTCTGGCCTGGTCCACGGGGGGATGGTGGGTGTCACATGCTTCCTTGGCATTCATGGATGTGATTTTTCTTCCTCGCATCCATCTCTTGTTTGCCATGGCAACAATTGTGCCCTGCACTTGCACTTATAAATAATTAATGATGTCGGAGGCAAGGGTCAGCTCCCGAACACAACTCGATCCCAAGTGTTGGCTTACGAGCATTAATTTAATAGACGGAAATCTGCGACAAGAGCCACTCTATTATGTGCAAATATTAAATTAATTCCAGTAGCACGTCTATTGCCAAGAATGTTTTTTAAATAAAGAGGAAAGGTTAAGCAATGTATCTTTAAGTATGGGAATATTTTACCATATATACCGAGGCTATCGATGCTTCTGAAGACTGGTAAACAATGAAGTCTGGACTAGTATAATTGAAACATTCAAAAAATCGTCAACTCCTCAAATGAATACTTCTCCTCGGCATTATTTATGAAACTATTGGACAATTGGACCAATACAGCCCTTGCCTTCCATCCTCATTAGCAAGTTACCTCTTGTTGGTGCCGCTTCATAGATTTTGTATATATCATTGGTAACAATGGGACTGGATTTTCCATTGGGAGGCAGGGAGAGGGCATTTGCATTGCTTAGTGCTCCGGTAATTGCAAATCCTTCCATCTTGACCGCGTTTACCGAACGACTAACTACTTGACCGGACTAGCAACAGCTCCGGGGCAACCTACTAGATGCTACTGACTAAAGCTATATAATTGAATGCACCGAAAGCCCCCCAGTTCGACAACCTAATGTATTCCATGTTATAGGGTTTATATGTTAGTGTATAAACAGTTTCGAGCCAGTGCTAGTGGAGAAGTTTACGGTTGTGGGGCGGCCTGCCAACGTCGAAAGTCTAAAGTCTAGACACAACGTAATTTCATTTCTGGTTCGTTCGTCTGCCAATAAATCGAATCATCCGAAAAAGAAGGAATATAAATAACGATTTTTTATTCGACATTTTCGACTAAAAGATGCCCCTTAATATTATAAATTAATAGAATTTTAAAAAAGAAAACATGATACTAATGAAATCAAGTAAAAACTAAACTTTTCAAGTAGCAGTATATGGAAGTGGGTAAATATTACATGGAATCCAGGTTTCTTGGATAATCTAATCTCTTTACCGGGTAGAGTGTCAAGTATGAAAAATGTAACACTACTCGACTCCGACGAGGAAATTAAAATATAAACTTGACACCGCCACATCGATTTCTATGTAGGTATCTGACTACACACAAAGTAACTCGCATCGGGAAAGGAATGAGCCAAACATTTATTTGGTCCATCGACGATGTCATACGTAAATTATGGCGCACTGGCTCCTCCGCTCCTCCGGCGATTTATGACATATGGCCATAGTCGGATGCGGTCTGTTCTCAGCAGCGGTGTGTCAGCAAAGAGCATAAATTTTGATTATGCCCCTATTTGGGAGGGAGGAAGCCTGACGATTGGACGAGGGCGAAGGCAAAGGCGAGGCTGGACCAGAAGCTGGAGCTGGATGGATAGGTTGGCTGCTCAGAGCCACCATAATTTGGTTTGCCTGCCTGCCCCAAGAACCATCAGCTGATTGATGACGGAGGCGGCGTTTGGCCGGGATATTGGAGTAGGTGGTAAATGGTAAGTGGTCGTCTGCTCACCGTATTCGTGCACCATTTCCAGGCGGCATTTGTCCAGAGCCGAAGTCGCCTTCATTCGATATGGTGGGGCGTCGTTCTCTTCCGTCGATTTCCGTGCCATTTTCCAATTAGCAAGCGTTTACCCAAAATTAAAGCTTCTCACTCACCCATTTAGCTGCTGCCTAAAGTTTCAGTCGGATTATCGAGCTCTCCTCGACAAAAAAGGGCATGGGCACTTGGGAACAATCAAACATCTACAATATTATCTATACTATATACACCCACACAAAATAAAACACGAAAATTACAATGTGAAAACTAATTTTGTTGATTCTGTTTTTTTTGTCGATTTTGATTTGTTTGCATTTGACTTTTAGTGCAAAATGCCGCTGCCTGCTGCGTTTTCTTGATAATTTATGAATGACTGCAAATTGCTCCGCTCCGAGGGAGTCCGCACTGATTGAAAGCGACACGAAAGTGCCCCACAGTTTGTCACAGTCACTGTGACCCCACCTTTAACCCCATGCACCCGACTTTCCTTACCTTCAATGTTGTTGGAGCGTCCGTGTAAACAAAAAATTTGTGCAGGTGTTGAGGGCGTTGCCGGGTGATTGTTGTTGCCATTGCCAGCGCCTCCAGTCTCGCCTGCCCGGCCCTGGCCCTGCTCCAGCAGGTGGAAGGAAGGAGCTGTGCCATAGTTACTCCGGTGCGTCCGATCTGAGTTTCTTCTACATGAAAAAATAGAGATGCTTTTGTTAAAGGCGTAGTAGGCAGAAATCTTACAGATAGTGAGTTTTAAAGGACGTGTGCTCTTAAGTTCTTCAAAAAAAAGGATATCAATTTCCAAAATCAAGATAAGATAATCTCTATAAATCTTAAATTAATATTATAATATAATCTTATATAAAATATTATATGGTTTACTGTTTATTATAAGGCCAACTTAATTAAGAAACCCCAACAATGATAAAATCCAGTCCCAACTCTATTTAATAGTTAGATTGCCATTTTTAATGTCACGTAAAAGTCTGCAAACTAATGTTTTAATTAAAGCGGTTTATTTTGTATTCTGGGGTTTTTTCCCCTTTGTTTCCTTAAGTTTCTATAGAAATGCACTTGTTTTCCACAGTAAACAAGTGAAAGAAGCACGAGAAGAATGAGAAGTAACTGCAGCCGCAGAAGCAAAAGCAGCAAGTTGGAGAACTTTTTTTGGAGAAGCTTCAACTCCAAAAACCCCAACTGAGAATTAAAACGTACCGTTGCCGGTGCCAACACAACGGCAACTGCGGCATTTAAGCAGACACAATGTAACCGGGGCGTCACGCCCCCAAGCCTCCACCTCCCAGGATTCGAGGCTATAAGGACCGGCCCGCCCGCCCGGCCATCAGCAGGCAGTTCCCACTGTAATGAGCTGATGCTTCGGAAAGCGAGGAAAGGGTTTTTTTTGATAGGTGCTAAAATGAAAAGTGCAGCGAAAAATTCAATTTGAAGTTTTGTTACTTAACGCAAACTACGATGACTACTTAAAGGCCACGCCCCCATGCCCGCCGCCTTCATCAGCAGCAGCAGCACGTGAGGGTGCGTGTGTGTGATGTGCCCGTTGATAAGTTTGCCGTATGTGGGAGTGGGCGGACGAGGGTGGGCACTGTCGTTCGGCTGTGGGAGTGCAAGTGCGCGTAATTTTTACTACGAAAAGTGCAAATGGCGCTAAACTACTTGCTCTGCAACTTTCCAACGCAATTGCAACCGGGCGGGCACAAAAAAAAAAAGTGCCAAAGCTGCCAGGGGAGAGGCAGCAGAACTGCAATAAAATATGGCTAAAAAAAAAAACGTGTTTATATGTATAAGGAAAAAACGTAGCCGGCGCACTTTATTTAAGCTCCTCTATCCGAACTTTTCGAGGCCTCTGCGCACCTACAATCCCAAGGCCCGGGACCCGTCACAGTTGTCGCTGCTCCCACGCGGTCCGCTCTTACGCCTATTTAACAAATCAGCAGCTCATTTGGCGCTTTATGTTAATTTTGGCCAAAAGAGATTTTATTTTGGCCAACTTTTTGCGTCGCGAAACTTTTTGGATAAGGGCAGGAGGCGGTAAACCGTTTTCCTCTTGAACTTACTTGGCAATCGGCGTATCCTCGTTCCTGCTCATTGTATAATTAATTTATTTTTTAGTAATTCCGTCTGGATTAACAATAAATTAACAAAAAAAAACACGTACAACGTCAGCACTACGTTACTACACAAAATTTGAACGACAAGTGTTCATCAAAACGGGAGATCCCGTCTACCTACTTTCCTGATCAGAGGCTGGGAATGATAAGATCAAGTCAAATAGTAGATAAGCCCAGATAAAACTTACAACTCCTAGGGTCTACAAAACTGAGAGCCGAGTGCAGTGCATGTGTGTTTGTCTTCTTGGTGCGAGAAACGAATTGGGTGAACGGGAAGGGGAGCAGCGGGACAGGGCTTAAAGTTCTTATCGGAGGAACTCATCCAGAATGAATATAGCACACGGTCTGCTAATTGCTCCCTTCAATGATGGTAACGTGCGGTAAGACAAGACACGCAGCGTTGTTTACTTTTCGAGTGGAGATTTAGTAGGCCGCCAGACACGCCCGAGGGTGAGCCGAAATCCATGTCAAAGCTTGGCGCCCAAACGCAGGGCTGCCAGACATTCAGAAAAAGTTTAACCTTGGTATATTTGTGGTATATATCGGTAGTGGGGCGACAGAATTTTAAAACAGACACTTGTTGGAATTTTAATCATTTATTTTGTAGCTTAGGTAATAATAAGGAATTTAATCGGTTTAGGGCTTTTTTCTAACGAAGGGTTTAACTCTTCTCAATAGATTCTTCATACTGAAAGTTATTAAAAATCAAACAATCTAGTACTTTTGCTTCTTCTTAAAAGAGAGTCATTGAAGGATTTCCGAAAATGACTAAATAATCATCTTATGTAGATTTTATAATAAAACACGACTAAATAATCATCTTATGTAGATTTTATAATAAAACACGTTGTGAAAACTTAAAAATAAACAGTCCCCGTATAAACATACTAAAAAGGGCAGAGCGCCACCCAGAAAATAACGGTATCGTGACTATCGATTGACCCCACGATGTAACCGTTAGAAACAACCCACCACCAACGCACAGGCAATGTTTAAAAAATCAATATGGTGGGCACAACGTGCAGGAATTCGCTTAAGTTTAGCAAATGTTATTAGCCAATGATGTCGGGGAGTTGTGCAAACGAATGATAGCTAATAAATTGCCGAGACTGCGGTCGCAGTGACAAAATGCCCAACTAAACGGATCGAGTGCGCGAAACCCGAAAAAAGCGAGTCCGAAGCAACAACAAGGCACCAAGTGATGGCCTCTTCCTCTTCCTCTGCGCGTGTGAACAACAAAGCCGCCCTCGCTTCCGCTTCCGCCGCCGCTGCTGCTGCTGCCGCCTCTGCTTCTTCCTCATCCACCGCTCCTGTTCCAGTTCCTGCTTCAACTCCCACTGCAACGCTCGGTGAGCTGATTAACCAGCAACTGAAGCAACTCAACCCGGACGAGCTGATCTACAAGGATGAGCTGCAACTGCTCCTGCTCCTGACCCCCGTCCAGCGTCAGAAGCTGAGCCGGGAGCTGGAGGATGTCGACATTGGGGCGAGCACTTCGTCGGCGCCGCTCTCCCGCCCGGAGAATCCCGAGGAGGATGACGACCTGATGGGGGCGGTGGGCGGTTTGAGTCTCTCCTCCCCAACCACAACCACAGCGGCAACAACAGCAACGACCAAGGAGCCGCTGCTGGATTTTAGGTAAAACAAAAAATGCCTTAAACTAGTGTGTTGTGGGTAAAAGGATACATATATATATCCTTGAATATCTATAGGCCACACAAAAAACTTTTCACTTTCACTTTTTATTCGTTTCCAACCGACAGTAAAAAAAATTGAAACCGACAATTTTTTTTGTTAAATGAGTATTATTGGAACCAAAAATAGGTTAGAAACCAGTGAAGGACAAACGAGCAATTATGCAAATTCATAATCCCCAATGAAATTAATTTAATTTGAGTGGCTATGCTAATCTGCCAATAAGCCTCAGAAAATTGGTTTTGTAAATTTTCCAAGTTATCGTGTGAGTGAGTGGTAGCCGACAGTCGGTGGGTGGCTGACCAGGTGGCCACCTAGACCACTAGGCTAGGTAACTGGGTGGCTGGGTGGTTGGGTGATTGGGTGGTGGGCGTTGATTTATCACCCCTGGTCGTGGCTTTTGATTGCATGCATTCGTACGTTTCAGTTAAGCAGCATTGTTTGCTGTCGAATTCAGAATTTGGGTCACTTCGTTTTGACATTTGCCGTGAATAATTAAGCCGCCCTCCTTTCCCATAATTGCACAGAACCCACGTACTCAAATGGTTTCAACATCTACGCCACCAGACGGGCCACTTCAAGTCCGAGGAGGAGTCGCGTCGCCTGCGCGAGGCCGGAAACGATTCGTACCGCAAGGAGAAGCATCCGCTCAAGGCCAGCGATCTCTTCACGGAGGCCATATTCCTGGCCCCCGCCCGGAATACGCTGGCCGCCGCTCTGGCCCATGCCAACCGCTCCCTAGTGCTCTACGACTGCGGCCTTTATGCGGTAAGTCGGCGATATACATATTTCTTTCCTGTCATGATATATGTAGTTTCTTTCGGCCGTAGGTCTAACCATTTAAACATTAATATAATATCATATTTTAGGAATCCTATGACGACTGCCTATGCGCCCTGGATCTGGGCTATCCGGAGGAATATTTGCCATTGATTAAGCTGCGCCAAGCCGCCTGTGCCTTAAAACTGCGCAACTTTGCGCTCTGCGAGGAGCATCTGCATGAGCTTCTGCACGTAGAACTGAACCAGGTCTTCGAGACGCGTACCCACGAGCTCTGGCACCAGTGCGAGGTCCTCAAGGTGGAACGCTTCGAGATGGCCGTGCAAACGGGCGACGATTTGGACACCAACGACTCGAAAGCATTCGAAATGTGAGTGTCATTTGAAGCTACAGGAATTTTGTATTAAAATACCCAATTTTTCCACAGAGCATGGCTGGATAACTCGTCATCACTGCATACCACCCGAGCCGTGGCCAAGAACGCGCTGATCTTCGAGTCCGAGGCTGTGGCCATGGTGCCCAGCGGCAACTGCCGGGTGTGCGACCATTGCGGGATCACCCAGTTCATTCCCTTCCCCTGCATTTACTGTTCCAACCGCCTGGTGGTCTACTGCTCCCGCCAGTGCCGCTTCAAGCATGCTGCGATTCATGCTGTGGAGTGCTTCGGCCACCAGATCGAGTTGTTCGAGTCCTTTGGCGAGGTGTTTGGGATGCCACGCCTTCTGCAACTGGCCCTTCGGATGCTCATAACAGGACTGCCAGAGATGTTGGCTCACTGCCGAAAGAAACCGACGCTCAGCAAGCTCTGGTCAGCCATCAACGGGGGATTGGTGGAGCGACAGGACATCGCGTACAGTGCCGTTCTTCGTCTGGAGCGACTGAGGGAGGAGCATGCCTCGGAAACGGCGATAGCTCTGGCCCTGGCTTCCCATGTCCTGGCCATATACCTCAGCAAGTGCACCACCTTTTTCGAGCAGTTGGAGAAGAGCCTGCCGTCAGCCTCCCGGATGTCGAACGCCGAGTGGGAGCTGCTCTGTGCCGCGCTCCTAATGCGTCACATGGGTCAACTGCGCCACAGATCGCTTACCCTTTGCCGATCCTTCGTTATGCCCGCGGATCCGCACGTCTTCTCACCTCTGAACGAGTTCCAGCTGTGGGCTTCGCCCATGCGCCTCCAAGAGGGCCACCTACATCTGCTTGCCGGCGAGGTGGCCGTCGTCTCGTATGCCGTCTATCCAGATACTTTGAGTCTGTGCCGACACAGCTGCTCCTCGACGATCTGCGCCAAGTTGTCTGGCCGCAAGATGACAGCGCTGGCTCTGCTCGATCTGCCAGCGGGCTCCGGCATATACAACTGTTTCGCCAGTGGCAACTACCAGCAGCTGCGCCGGGAGGAGCGCAGCCGACAGCTCAAGGATCGCGGCATCAGGTGTCACTGCAATGCCTGTCAGCTTTCGCACGCGGATGATCAGTTCGTAAGTCAGGGAAACTGCATCATATAACTTGTTCTTTCTGGAACTAACTATTATTTAAATTGTACTCATGCAGCACAAGTTCCATCGCTACCGTTGTGATAACCCCAAGTGCATGGAAGTCTTCACACCCGACGCTCTGCCACATGCCCCCAATCTGCGTTGGTGGTTATCCGAGGACTACACCCAGCCTGAATGCAATGGCGCCGAGCTCATAGTGTGTCCCCACTGTGGCGAGGCCCAGAAACTGGAGTGGTTCTGGGCGTTCCACACCTCGCTCATCGATTGCGAGCTGATCGAGGAGCGCTGCAAGCTGTACGCGGCCATCGAACGGGCCGAGGGACACCTGATGGATCTGCACGAGTGCAAGGTGGCGCTGGCCAGGCTGCTGGTGGAGCAGTGCCTCATGGTGCACAGAGGTGAGTATGGTCTCTACCTGGAAGGGCATCAGGAGATCTCATTAAATGTGTACTCATTGCCAGCTCACTGTTCCCACTTGGTTCAGCACTTTTCCACCCCACTTGAGATGCTATTTTGTTTATCTTTATTGTTAATCCTTAAATTTAATATATTTTCGAGGTATATTTTGGCATTAGGGTCATAACTCAATCATTCCCCCCCTGCTTTCTTATAAACTATCTCTTTATAAACTACCTTTCTCTGTCCGCTCCCTAAACTCTAAACTCTTGAACGAAACCCCAAATAGAGGGTGCCACCGTGCTGGACGACTGGGAATTCAACAAGCTGGGCTCCATCATGCGAGCCGTACTCCCCAGCGTAGTGGCTCAGTACGGCGGGCAGTCGATCGAGTACGTGAAGTACTTCGCCTACTTCTGGGACGTGATGGCGCTGAGCAACTACAAGTGCAACGATAGGGAGCTAATGCAAATGCTTAACGCTTTGGAGTTCATAGCGGACGAGTTCAAGGATATATTCATCAACTACTACGAGGATTATATTGCGCCCAAATTTGCTGAAGAGTCCTATGGAAGTGTCGTAGATACGCAAGTTTAGAAAGTAAATCGATGGAGAGCGAGCCACTCAAAAATACTTAGATCTGTTTTACTCTGTAGAGAATACAAAATAACACAAAAAACCGAAAAACCGAAAATTTAGGAAAATTCTATTGTTGAACCCATGCGAGAGATACATTACATACATACATGCAAGCGTACTTTGTGCTATTATTAAAAAAAATGGTGCTGAGATATTAAATTGTACGAAACGAATGTTACATTCATTTAGGTGATTAAGTCAGAATCAGACGAGGAATCAAAACGATCATACATATTATTGTACTAGTAGGAGTCATATCATGCACATTTTGTTCATATCACACCTAGGAAATGATTAACTGATTAATTACTGATCGATTGATTGATTGATTAAGATGGCAAATGACTTTTTCATTTTGCATTGCGAGCAATATTTATGAATCAACCAAATGCTAAAGCTGCAACTTCCCTGGGGCTGCCCGCTGATCGCTTTTTTAAATTTAGTTAAATTGTAGGCCTAACCCGGAACATCAACACCAAACACCAAACATCTCAGGCGCGCAGTGAGCAGCCCCACCGGATTTATTAAGTAAACAAAATAGATAAACCAATGCAACTCTAATTATAAGCATTATTTTAGCTTCTGAGAAGCTTCTACCTAAGCTTAGACACCAATCCCGATTGTTTGCATTACACAAAACGATTAAATTATGTACACACCGACCGGAGAACCCCGAAATGGAATCCAAAGAAATCCCTCAATCACAGACATATGTATTTGCTTGCCAATGGGCAGCCTGACTGTAAGCTTTTAATGCTTAAAAATCAGATAGGAATCAAACGCAATCGCTGCAGAAACAAACAGACAGAAGAACAATTTAAATTAATTAATATTTGAATTGTATTTAACGAACAAAATGTTTTTCAAACCTCGCCTTAATTTTTTAAAAGTGTTTTGGATTACGACGAATAAAAGATAACGAAAATATTCGACCACAAAATGCACTGATAACGCAAAGACCAGGCCGATCTCACATCGACACACCCACATGTGGACACACAGAATCACACACGCGACGAATATAAATACCAACTACAAATTACAACAAGATACTTAAACCAACTTCTAGTAGCTATAAACAAATGCAATAAAAATTCTTTTTAACAACAACTGTTCAGACCTTTTACTGGGATGCTTAACCTTAACTTATATAACATTCTATTTTCATGCCTGGGATTACTTCTTCTGGAAGAAGTTCATGATGCCAGCTTGCTTGGTTTTGGTTGCTTCTTTTCCACCCTTGGCCGCTGAAGGCGGGGACTTCTTCTTAGACGCCGGGGCTGCTGCCTTGGGAGAGGGCTTCTTCTTAGCCGGCTGGCCTTTGGCGGGCTTGCGCTGGGTAATCACGAATCCCTCATCATCCAAATAGGTTTCGTTAGCCGGCTCCGTGTCCATGGACTCGTCGGCTACAGTGATGGGCTCTTTCTCCGCTGCCTTTTTGGGAGGCTGTTCCTCGTCTTCCGAATCGCTGATGCGTCTCCGCTTGGATGTCATGGGCTTCTCCTTATCGGACTCATCCTCTGAGCCAATCACCTTGCGCCGCATTTTATCCAGTTTCTCCTCCTCGTCGGAGGACTCGGCGCTCTCCTCGTCGAACAGTTGGACGGAAGTGTTGGCTGGAGTTTGCTTCTTGGTGGGGGATGCTGATTTCTTTTTGTTTTTGGGCGACGGCTCTTTTTGCTTGGCAGCAGCAGTTTCGTTCTGCGCGGGTGGAGACTTCTTTGATCCTGCTGGCTGCTTCTTGAAGAAGTTGTCCATGGTGTTTGATGCCTTGCTGGGGGTAGCCTTAACATCCTTCTGCTTGTTGCCCGCCGGGGCTGCTGTGAAGAAACTACTGATGCTGCCCTTTTTGGCTGCTCCTCCTTTGGAGCTCGAGGCCTGCTCTTTGGGTGAGGTCTTCTTGGACTCTGGTGAGACTTTCACTGGCTCCGATTTGACTGACGACTTGGATGGCTCCGATTTGACTGACACCTTGGATGTCTCCTGCTTAACCGAAGCCTTTGAGTCCTCATTTTTCACACCATTGGTTAGGGAGGACGTCTTGTGAACACCATTTGTTGCTGGGGCAGGCTTGTCGACTCCGTTTACACCAGCACGCTGCTCCACCTTCCCCAGTTTGACCTCCAGATACTGCATGGGCTGGAATATGGTGGCAGGCGACTTGGAGCCCCCGGCTATTTCCACGCTGTACAGCTGGGACTGCGCATCCTTCAGCTTGGATAGCCAGTCCTGCAGTTTGCTCTCCTGCACCACAGTATACACCTCGTCGTCTGATCCGGCTTCAGATCCTTCTGAACTCCGCTTTCCATGCACCAAGAACCTCTTTTCGAATTTCGTTGCCGGTTCCTGTTTCTTGATGTACTCTTCCAGGGTCTTGTTGACCTCCTTGTAGGGCAGTTTGTACTCCTCCAGTAGGTCGGTCACCATGATACGGCGGTCGAAATCAATAAGACAATCTTCCAAAGCCTTTTTGAGGGACATTTTGCTGCCGCTGTTTTCGTAAATAAAAATTGCGCGAAAACAAGAGCGTACCAGATACGCATTTAGCTATTTTATTGGTAGATATGGATAGCTTGAAATTCTAGCTATTTATATATATTCCGATAGTTGGCAACACTACTCTGCCAATTAGAATATAATATAATTAGAATGGACGAATTATAAAATTAATTAGGAAACATTTATATTTTGTGTCATTATTTATTTATTTTATTTAAGTTGTAGGCCAAAAATTTATGGTAACCAGCCTCTGAAACCTTCAAATTAAATACTATCTGGCAACGTTGCAAAGTACGTCATGACAAAAGCTCATTGCTTCTTAACGTATTTTCAAAATCGAAATATATTTGTGAGCGTAACGATTTTAAATCAATTCTGATTTAAATTCTTAATTCTGATAAATACAAACTTCAAGTTTTATCAATAATATTTAATTTTATCCATGTTATCATTTATTGTTTTACCTTAAAGTAACAAAAACCCTACCTATAGATTGTATGGTTCAAGAAAGTATTAAATTATTATTATTATTATATCTATTAGTACACTTTTGAAGAGTAAAGTGTTCCATAAAGGGCATTCATTTTATAAATAAAAGCAAACGAAAGTCCTTCTTGTCTTCATCTTCCTCGTTACCCGGTAAAGAAAACTTGCATATGCCAGCAAAAGATTTCCACACCCGAAAAACAAGAAGAAACTGGCTTATTACCATCATTATTGTTATCGCTATTGAAAAGCGCTAATTGTGCGCAAATAGCGAGCGCGCTAAGCTCACACGTGGAAACCACACCTGTCGGTAAACTGCAAGCGCGGCAAAAACTGCAAAAGTTTGGCAGAAGGAGGCGAAGGTGTTGCGGGATGTGAGGAATTTCGGGGTTAATTAGAATGGTCTTGGGAGCAGTCGAAAGGGAGAGTTGCTAGTGGGGTTGGCAAGGAGATGCACCCTTTTCCGGTGAAATGTCACTTTCCCCCTGCACAATGTCACAGTCGACATGAGCAATGGCCAAAACAGCAACAACTGCGACAAGTGTCACGTGCATATGAAATCGTTACGGCGGGCGCTTTATGAATGAAACATCTACTAGTGCATACCCCGATACTTCGCCTCCGGGGCATCTTGACGACTAGCCACCCAGCCGAGCTCCCATCTCATCCGCCCAACCGCAACACTTACCGCCCACCCATCGCACGGCAAGGCCGCAGGACACATGCGCAACGCCATCGCCATCGCCATCGCCAAGCAGCATTTGAATTTTGAATATGAATTTTGACACTTGATTATCAGCGCCGTTCCGCAGTTCGCGGCCAGTTGCAAGAGTGTGCGGACGTCTGTCCGGCAATTGGCGGAAAGCTTAACCAAAAAACCGGAAAAAATAAATTCGCTTTAGTGCGGCGGAAACTAAACTTGGGCTATTTAAGAGTGAAAGTGCAAAAAAGAAAGAACAAAACGGAAGAGGGCATTAGAAAAGTTTGACACTTTGCTCTCGCCCGTTGATGCTGTGAACCAAATTGTGGATTACAATGGGCTGTTCTATCATTTGGCTGCTGCTCCTGAAATGCATTTACTGCAGCATGGCCAGCTTCTCGGAGCTGAACAATTGTAAGTTGGCGCCTTGACAAAATCGATCTATTCAAATTCAAGAATGATTTCTTGAATTATTGTTATTGAATATGAAGTGCAGGAGGACATAAAACTAAGTGTTTCGGGTTGAAACAGATAGAACATGGATGGAGTGTGAGATATATAACTATAATAGAAATAGAATGCGTTAGTAAATAATTGAATGATAATAATAAAAAAAATCTACATCAGTGTGGGAACCATATTGAGTACATATCAACATTTAATGTTCAAGTGCATAGTGTTTAGGTTTTGCTTTCTAAAAATAATTAATTAATTCATAACCAAATGCAATATTTATTTTATTTCTAAAAAAATCCAATTAAATTATTGAAAATACAAATTTTAACATCATACACACATGAATCCCTTTAGAATCGAATGCGATTCAAACTTGATTGCAAGTATATGTAGCTAGGTAGCTATGTAGGTGGTAGATATATTCACTAATTTAATAATCCTTTTAGAAAAATTATAATATTGTCTTAGATTAGTAGAATAAATGTTTCAATTAACCAAAAAAAGCTAAAAAATCTTAAATAAACTAAAACAATTTGACTAAAACTAATTACTATCTAACAAGCTGCTTTGGCAACAGAAATTGTAACTTCGAAGGTTCGGCTAATTGACTCCATTTAACGTGCAAGTTGGCCGAAACAAAAGCGCTAACGAAAGCGTCATAAATAGCAGGGGCTTCGGCCAAAATGGAAGGCGGCCAGCAATCGGAAGTCCAACGAGTCCATAAGTGAATAAACTGTGGCCAACATATTCCCCAGACGGCGGGCTCAGGGCTCAGTGCGGGGGAAGAGTTACGAGGGTTAGCTTCCGCCCGGAAAAATGGTCTGCTCCATGAAGTTGGCAGGGGAGGGCAGGGAAAAATCAAAACAAATTTTCCTTGACTTTGGAGAGCCAAATACGATAAATATATCAAAATTTGTTGTTTAAATCAATGTGCCAAATGCAAATAAACATAAATATTGGCAAGCCATACCGCAGCGTGCGATAAGAAAGTGAGAAGTGAGCAGCACCAGCTTCGAGGAGTGATGCACGCCACCCTTGGCCATCCTGGGTGTCCTGACGGCCCCGCCACCCCATCGTACCACCCCCGGCACAGCGGGCAGGCAGACAGACAGTCGCGGAAAGGCGACGCTTTCCCACTTCCTATTGCACTCTGCGATATTTTATTTCATTTTTTCCTCCTCGTAGCCGGTGGTTTCTGCCGCTGAAGTGTCGGCTCCTTGGGTGGGAGTAGCAGGAGGGACTGCAGTGGGTTATTTTCCATTTCGCCGTTCATTTTTTTTTTGGCAGACATTGCGTGCTGATTGTGATTCGCTTCGCCTGCACTCGCCTGCAGACAGTTGGAGTGTCTAACAGGAGACAGGACATTCACTTTCCGTTTCAAGTTCAGCGGCGTGGGGCTGGCAAGGATTTCTTGGGGAAGCAGTTGCTTAAGCCTTATCAGAAATTAAATTCATTCAAAAGAGTGACTGCAACTAACAACTCATAGTCAATTTCCTTAAATAAAATTGGCAACAACAATGGCATTTAGCGACTTGAAAGTTCATCACGAATATACAATCAGGCTTTACCTTTCAGGCATTACCAGAAAAAAAAAGGTTTATGTTACACTGAGTCTTAAAAACAAAATAAATGGTTCTTATACCATGTATTAAGTTTTTTAAAATCCATCATAAAAGCTTTTAGCTGAAAGCCACCTCTTTGTTCTCAGTGGACATATGGATGTGTTTTATGGTTAAATAGCCCAGCTAGTTCCTTTCTTCGGAATGTTTCAATATGCAAACATGCAATAGCCAAATTGCAATAACAACAACTGGGGGTAGGCGGCAGGAACAACCGGAGCAACAATTCCAGAAACCATATCAACCGAAGGCTACATCAAACAATGGCGTCTCACACATTAAACGGCCGAAAAGAGCAACCCCAGAAACGGACCCGACACTGCATACTTACCGCGGACCCGGGACCCAGACCCAGACCCAAACATAATCGCAAATTATAGGCTATATGGCCTGGCCTGGCGTCGTAGGGTCCCCCAATTTGATGCTAGTTTGGTGGAAACACGCCCACACCCGCAACGCAATCAGTTTCGGGGGCTTCAAATGGCTTGAAATGGTGGGGCAGACGTCCCTGTTGAGGTGTAGCCAGGTTTTTACAATTTTCCAGGTACTAGCACTTCCCCCCTCCCCAGACCACTCTCCTCCATTCGATTTTTGCATTTTTTCGGGTTATTATTTGGTCATAATTGTAATTTAGGTATTTGCTGTGTGAGGGGGCTGGTCTCGTCTCCTGGCCACAAAATCATGCTACTTGTTAGGCATGTGATGTGATTTCTATTTTTTTCCGGCCTGCCTGGCGCGGCCCGTTCCTTTTATTTGTGGTCTGAGGCTTTTGTGGTTGGAGTCCTAGTGGTTACAAGGTGGCAGAATTTGAAAACTTGCGGTAGGCAAACTTGACTGAAAATGATTGCAAAAGTAATGAAAAGTAACATCATCCCTATCCCTGCATTGATTTTTACCTTGGGGTATGGGGTTTTGATTTGGGAAAAATAAATTTTAATTCTAATAACCAAAAGAAAATAAAAAAATTATAAATATATTTAAAAGAATATGTTATTAAAAATCAAAACATATGATTACAATTTTAAAACAAAAAAAGAAAGGATTCCTCCGCGAGGAGCAGAATCGTATATTCTCATGATGGGTTTCTATTTAACGGTATTGTATGTTAGTTTTCCAAGTACCGGATATAGTTTGTTTCGTCTTAAAAGAAATTAAGATAAATCTTATAAATTTCCTAGAAAAGCCCCAAGCTTCTCCCTTCAACCTTGAAAAACACTATGAGTTGAATTGTGAGATTTCCGATCATTAAATTATATGGCAGTTAGAAGGTACAAAATGAAAATGAATAATTAAAATTAATAAAGAAAAATATATATTCAATATTCAAATATTCAAATTAAAATAGAACAAATGTTGGTAGATACCAACATTGTAACTTTAAATTTTAAAGTTAACTTTTTAACGTTTAAAAACTCTAAAAGTTACTCTTAACTCTTTCATATCAAGGAAAAAAATAAGTAGTGTTTTGAGCCGATAGTTTTAAAACTGATAGACTAGCTTGTCGTGGAAATAGACAGGGATACAAGCAGTGGCGGATTTAACAGGTGGGCAAAGGCGCGCTTGCCCACTGGGCCCCCCCGACGAAGGGCTATCAGGGCCCCTCGAGCTGAGTGTTACACCTTCGATTTCTTTTCCACAAATTTGCCCCAAAATCTGGAAACAAAATATTTTTAAGATTTTTTGTCAAATTTTCTGGGCTGTCCCCTTCAAAATGTGCAAAATGCATGGGGAGCCCCATATGACCCACTGCGAAGGCCATATCTTAGGAAATATTCATCCGATTCTTAAACGGAATACTTTAAACGATTTGTGGATCGATTCTTCATAAATCTGCATCAAAATCTGGGAACAAAATATTTTTAAGATTTTTTGTCAAATTTTCTGGGCTGTCCCCTTCAAAATGTGCAAAATGCATGGGGAGCCCCATATGACCCACTGCGAAGGCCATATCTTGGGAAATATTCATCCGATTCTTGAACGGAATACTTTAAACGATTTGTGAATCGATTCTTCATAAATCTGCATCAAAATCTGGAAACAAAATATTTTAAAGATTTTTTGTCAAATTTTCTGGGCTGTCCCCTTCAAAATGTGCAAAATGCATGGGGAGCCCCATATGACCCACTGCGAAGGCCATATCTTGGGAAATATTCATCCGATTCTTGAACGGAATACTTTAAACGATTTGTGGATCGATTCTTCATAAATCTGCATCAAAATCTGGGAACAAAATGTTTTTAAGATTTTTTATCAAATTTTCTGGGCTGTCCCCTTCAAAATGTGCAAAATGCATGGGGAGCCCCATACGACCCACTGCGAAGGCCATATCTTAGGAAATATTCATCCGATTCTTGAACGGAATACCTTAAACGATTTGTGAATCGATTCTTCATAAATCTGCATCAAAATCTGGGAACAAAATATTTTTAAGATTTTTTGTCAAATTTTCTGGGCTGTCCCCTTCAAAATGTGCAAAATGCATGGGGAGCCCCATATGACCCACTGCGAAGGCCATATCTTGGGAAATATTCATCCGATTCTTGAACGGAATACTTCAAACGGTTTGTGAATCGATTCTTCATAAATCTGCATCAAAATCTGGGAACAAAATATTTTTAAGATTTTTTGTCAAATTTTCTGGGCTGTCCCCTTCAAAATGTGCAAAATGCATGGGGAGCCCCATATGACCCACTGCGAAGGCCATATCTTAGGAAATATTCATCCGATTCTTGAACGGAATACCTTAAACGATTTGTGGATCGATTCTTCATAAATCTGCATCAAAATCTGGGAACAAAATATTTTTAAGATTTTTTGTCAAATTTTCTGGGCTGTCCCCTTCAAAATGTGCAAAATGCATGGGGAGCCCCATATGACCCACTGCGAAGGCCATATCTTAGGAAATATTCATCCGATTCTTGAACGGAATACCTTAAACGATTTTTGGATCGATTCTTCATAAATCTGCATCAAAATCTGGGAACAAAATATTTTTAAGATTTTTTGTCAAATTTTCTGGGCTGTCCCCTTCAAAATGTGCAAAATGCATGGGGAGCCCCATATGACCCACTGCGAAGGCCATATCTTGGGAAATATTCATCCGATTCTTGAACGGAATACCTTAAACGATTTGTGAATCGATTCTTCATAAATCTGCATCAAAATCTGGGAACAAAATATTTTTAAGATTTTTGTCAAATTGTCTGGGCTGTCCCCTTCAAAATGTGCAAAATGCATGGGGAGCCCCATATGACCCACTGCGAAGGCCATATCTTAGGAAATATTCATCCGATTCTTGAACGGAATACCTTAAACGATTTGTGGATCGATTCTTCATAAATCTGCATCAAAATCTGGGAACAAAATGTTTTTAAGATTTTTTGTCAAATTTTCTGGGCTCTTCAAAATACCCTTCAATGTACCCTGAAAAAATTTTGCCCACTGGTCCTTTTTCCTTAAATCCGCCACTGGATACAAGAAGTGATCCTGATTAAGAATAGATGTATTTTGTTTGGAGTGCAGATAGCTTAACTTCCTTGTAAATATATTTTTTTTAAATTGTAGAACCCTCTATAAGGAAACAATAAACGAAAGCCACCACCTTCTTGTTAAGTTCTTAAATATAATTTTCCCTAGACCGAAGGTTATTCCTAATCAAATATTAATTTTCCTAATTGTTGGATTATTATTATTATCCTGCTGCCTCGACTAACCGTTAACCTTCATAAATTTATGACAATTTTAAACATCTCCAGCACTTTGGGGCATCTGGCAAATATTTCTGGTAGGCCGTTGACATTCTGCAGACAGAAGCAGAAATGCGTGTGGAAAGGAACTTAAATAATTATGCTTATAATTGTGGATTAGGAATTGGATTGCCAATGTAAATAGTCAACACATTCAAAATGAAATACACTTTTTTTAATTCAATTAAATTTTTGCGCCTCAACTCCCCAAAATGGGACGCGCCAAATGCCAGTCTCTAACATTTGCAAGCCTCATAAACCACCCCACGGCTGACCCGCCGCCCATCCCTTATGTCTGCCCCATTTAGTCCCGTAATGAGGATAACCATAAATGTCAACCAATTGGGTTTTGGTGCAATCTTCCTTCCAGCGGATCCCAAGTTCAGCGGTCCCATCAACAACTCGACAGTTCCCGTGGGACGAGATGCCCTCCTGACTTGTGTCGTCCACGACCTGGTTAGCTTCAAAGTGGCCTGGTTGCGAGTGGACACGCAGACCATTCTGAGCATCCAGAACCATGTCATCACCAAGAACCACCGCATTGCCATTTCCCACACGGAGCACCGCATCTGGCAGCTGAAAATACGCGATGTTCAGGAGTCGGATCGCGGATGGTGAGTTTTAAAAATAACATTTAAGTTAATTACATCTTATAGATAGGGGTAGAGTGGTAGATAAATATAGGGTATTAGAAAAGAACTATCAAGTTTTTGTATAGGTTATATATGTACATATATAGCTTAACGATCAGCATTGCAATCTAGCTCTATATGCTAATGTCCTTCAAGGAAAATTTAAGAACAAAAATCGAAAAAATCGACTTGGAGATAATGTATTTAAAGATTTTAAGATATAAATGCTCCGATCCAAATACATTTTTAAGGATCTCTATACCTACATTAATTGGAATCCTTTAAATACATTTCATAAAATAAAATGTAATACATAAATTTCTGATTAAATTCAAAACTTAATTAAAAAGGAAGTTTTACTTTTAAACACCTTCTTATCTATCTCTTGAACTATAATCCTTAGGTACATGTGCCAAATCAACACAGATCCCATGAAAAGCCAAATGGGCTACTTAGACGTCGTGGTACCGCCTGACATTGTCGACTACCAGACAAGCCAGGATGTGGTCCGCTCCACCGGACAGAATGTAACGCTGACATGCAGTGCCACGGGTGTTCCTCTGCCCACCATTACCTGGCGCCGCGAGGAGACCATGCCACTTATGCTGACAAACGACGATGACCGTGAAATTTACAGCGTGGAGGGTCAAAACCTGACCCTCTGGCAGGTGCAGCGATCCCACATGGGCGCCTACTTATGCATCGCCTTCAACGGAGTGCCGCCCACCGTGAGCAAACGGGTAATGCTGATCGTGAACTGTAAGTAGAAGCTAGTTAGTTAGATGCTGCCCAGTTTAATATATTTGAATTCCAGTTGCGCCCACAATCTGGACGCGATACGATACCATCTATGTCGGCCTGGGACAGAAACTGACGCTGGAGTGTGTGTCGGAATCGCAGCCGCCGTCTGTGAACTTTTGGCTGAAGGACTCGGAGCTAGTGCAAGGTGGGTCCTATGAGTCCGTTACGGTAGATCATGTCTACCGGATTGTGATGAGAATCACTCTGCGTCCAGTCACTAAACGCGACTTTGGAGAGTACAAGTGCAGGGCCAAGAATTCGATGGGCGAGACGGATCGCATTATCACCGTGCACCGTAAGTAGCAATAGGAGTTTAACAATATTATCCAAAAACTATAGGTGTACCTCGTCCTTAGACAAAGCCAAAAAGCACGGACAGCACTCCCATCAGACTGCATCCCGCGAAAATCAGTTCATTGTCATTGAAGGTTGGTTTATGTCAAGAATGTTTAAAGGATTAATCCATAATCCTTTCTTTATATTTACAGAATACATTGCCAACTCAGCCATGAGGAACCACAGGCTATTCGTCCTTTGGCTTATTTTTCCTTGTTTTTTCAATAAAGTTTCCAGTATTTAAACATTTAAAAAACACCCAGAGATTTGTCTTTTAGCCACTTGTGAAGCGTGACTGCATCATTATATTGCCTAATTCACAATTTAATATTAATTATACATTTTGATACATCAATTGTCCGATTAAAAGGGTAGAGTACTGCAGGTGAGAACATACTACAAAAAGGTAAAATCAAGTATTTTGATTATATTCTTGACTGGACATTCATTTTGATTTCGTATTAGTTCGGCTGGCTAAATAAAATTCCTCTAAGACATCAATTACAATAATTGGTTACATCTCCGGTCATCGTACACTTTAAAATTAACTACAATGTGTTTAGTTATGTACAATTGTACAATTGAATGCGTTTCGGATCGATCGAGTGCTCGACCCGAAACTCGTTCCACAACTTTTCGCTTAACATAGAGGAGATTGAACTAAGGAGACGTGTTCAACAGGTGTTTGTTTAGAATAGAATTGATAGCTAGTTGCTACTCCCCATCGGATACCTTCTTTCGGTATGTTTTGCAATAAATTAGTGTGATAAAAGTTAGTACTAGCTATGAGCGTGTCGAGGTAGGCTTAATAGTTTGTTAGTTGGGTTGGCTTACAAATTAAGAGCGTGGTGTTTTCCTTCTTGTATGTGAGGGTGTGTTCATGCACTAGCCTAAAACGGGTTACTAGAACTACGCTCAACTTGAGCTTTCGTGGCCGTTGGCCACTTTTGAGGGCTTCTCCATATTGGGCACTTCGATAGCCGGCGGCGGCGTGGCGCCCTTCGCCTTGGCGAGAACATCGCGCTGCTCGTAGATCTCGTTGACCAGCTTCTTAACAAACGGATGGTTGAACTTGCCCTCCGTGGAGTCAAAGAACTCCTGATGCTTCAGAAGGCAATTGTCGCGCTTCTCGTACTCGAAAGCCTGCATCACCATGTCTAAACGGTCCAGATCCTTGACGAACTTGCTCTCGGCACTCTGTCCATGCTCGTATTCCTGCAAAAATAATGAGATTTATGAAGATGTCGTGAAAGATAACCTAAAGACTCACCTCAAATAGTTCCATAATGCGCTTGCCCCGCGGCTCGATCAGTTTGCAGATGTCCTCCATGGCTTTGAACTCCATGGCCCGCTTATCGTCTTTGGACACTCCGCAGAAGGGCGTTATGTCGCCCACCAGACTCTCGGCCAAATCGTGAACCAATGCCAGCTCCATGCAGCGGATCTGATTGAGACCCTCGCTGCCGTCCAGAAGGAAGGTCAGCATACTCATCCGATACATGTGGCCCGAAATCGATTCGCAATCGTTGACATCCCGCAGCACCCATCCAGTGCGTTTGGTGTGCTGGCGGAGGAAGGAAACATTCAAGGGTTAATGAGAATTCAATATGAGCCAAACAATAAATGAACATAAGCTGGGTTAGCCGAGCTGGCTAAAGGAACCATCCTCCACCTGCCACTTCAACTAATTAAAAGCATTGACGAGGCGACGCTGGTGACATCGTTGCCGGGTTGCCTCGTTGCACACATCAAGGTTGGTGGCCCTTGCCCCAGACCTTCAACCTCAACCTGCCAACGCGGCGGGTGTAGACTGTTGCTATTTGATCAATAAACGTTTTATTTATAGAAACCGGCAGAGGTGGCGGTAACAAGGTCCAAAAGACGTTGCACGTCCATGGCCAATGAGGTTCGCTTCCCTTCCGAGTCCCACCAGTGTCCGATGCGAAATTGAGTTTCCCGTTTAATTAATATCATGGTTTAATTAAAGTGCAAGAAGTCACTGCTTATATGCGACAATATCAGTGACTTATCACAGCTAATTGATTAGCTGGCCTGATCGGGGTGTGGTCACGTAATGATTTTGGACCTTATCAGAGGACTTGTTCTTTTATCTTCCACCAGAATGCACTGCAATAGGGATACCAATAATCATGATATTGTTTTTTTGTAAACAATTAAGGTAATCTCATTTATTGCGATACTGGTGGAGGGTTATCGGCCAACAAGAGAAGCCCATTTAATTGAAGCAATAATTAAGAATCGCATTAATTAAGAACCATCATTGGCAGATCGTACAAAATAATTACTAATCCGTTCCGCTCTGTTTGGAAAACATCTAGATATCTATCTAGAATATATTATCGCCTCAGAGAAACCTTCACCCCTTGCGGAGCACCCTCGGTTTGCTCGGGCAGCTTCTATACTTTGAAGGCCAAGATCAAAGTCACGCGTTGCTTTCAGTTTTTCTTTTTGCCTTTGCACGCTCTATATGCATTTCAAATACATTGTATATATCGTAGATTATTCACAGAATTTAGAAACCTGCCTAGAGGGAAATTTTGGGTGTAGTTTGTCGGACTCTGTTGTCCGGTGGACGTCAATGCTGACGACTGCGAGTTTTTGGCGTTGGGGACTCGATCCCAGTCATCCACTCAAAACAATGAAAACTTAAACACAAAAATAAATAAAAATTTCATCAGCCTCACGTGAGCTATTTGGCTTTTGCTTGTTTGCAATTTTTTATAGAGATTAGGGGAACTTGGAGCCACTGGACGTGGGTCAAATTACAAGTGATTCGAATTCGCAGTTGAGCTTGTCGATAAGACAGAGTCCCGTGCTCTCTGACGATGGGTTGAAAATTCAGCTGGGCTGATTAGATAAAAGCCAACTTAATGGCTTTAGAGCGTGTGGGCAGTGGCGTTGTCAGTTTTATGGCTTACACCCAGCTGTAGACGCCCTTTCATAACAGGGTGTAAACTAGCCTATATTGACTAAACAAATAAATTCCTATATCTATTCGAATATCTACATATATAAATATATATTTTTTGGCAACCAACTATAGAAATGCGTTCGATGGGACACAAGAGCGAGGCTGTCGCTGACATTATACAACATTTTTGAAAATATTCAAAACAAATTAGAGACAAAAAGCAAAGAGCAGAGATAAAATAGAATAGATTATTCGAAACGTAAATAAATACATTTTCGCGTTCTATTAGCTTTCGTTTTCACACTTTTGTTTATTTTCTTTATGATTGCTGCTGAGTCGTAGAACAAAAAAAATGATAAGGTTAGTCAGAAATATTACTGAAGGGTTTCAGCATACCATGACAACGAATGGAAACATCAAGAAACTTTAAACAACTTCATAATACTTTTCTAAAACAATTTTTAGCTTTGTTAGCACCTTGACACTCTGGCTGAAGGTTATCTGTTGGACTCCCTGTATCTACATATATAATCCCATCATTAAGGCCAAATAAATAAAATAAATCCTACAGTGATGGTCATGACTCCGCACTTGTAGCACCAATTTTTGCAAATTATCACGCGATTTGTGGACCAGAGGAACTCACAGAGCGATGTAGTAACCCCTCAGAAGCTAAATCAAAACACTAGGTGGAGCTAACTCTAGCAGAAGTGGGAAAAATCGATGAACACACATGAAGTTCAGTTGGAGAACTGGTTTCCTTTACCTTCAGGTTGCCGATGAGCTCCATAAACTGGAGGATCTCGCCTAGTCCAGTGTTGAAGCAGGGCTTCTTGCCGGCACTGGCCGATGCCGAGGCCACTTCATGGCAGGAGGCACCCAGTCCTGTGGCCTCCGCCTCCTTGTCGCCACTAGCCGTGATTTCGTCCGGTTTGTGGGCTTGCAGGGGCTCCGCCGCCAGCGATGACATGGCGAACTTTGTGGTGGTCTGCTGCTGCTGGTGTGGCTGCTGGGGATGATGCTGCGTGGCTTTGGCCCGCTGTCCTGTGGCTGATTGCGTGTGAATGTAGCGCTGGATGTCCTGGCTACGCTGCTGCAGTAGTTTCCCTGTGAACTGCTGGGCTGAGAAACAAACGACGTGCGCCGACTCCGACTCTGAATCACCGTGACTGTGACCGTCCGCGACAGAGTGTGAACTGAGAATATTGCTGGCGCTGGCGCTGCCGCAGTTAGCTTGACTAGAGGGCTTTGGTGGTGCATTTGCCGCTGTGGTTGTGGCCGCTGACGTCAGGTAGCCCACCTGGCGGAGCAGTCGGCAGAGATCGGTGCTGAGCGTAGAGAACATGTCGTGATCGTCGGCTACAAAGCTACAGCCAAAATCAGACACGTGATGTGTGTGTGTCGTCTGTGGGGGAGACGAGAGAGAGAGAGAGAGAGTACCAAATTGATTACAAAAATAGCTAAATCGGCAGCACTGCTTGTTATGAGTAATATTTGGGGAGGTTTTATCGCATGCGAGTTTTGTAATCACAGTTTGGAAGCCACCTAAGCAAGCAGTATATTGAGTAGTTTTAGAGCCACTGATAAATATATTTCTGTTTTTTTTTTTTGGTACAGCCAGCAATAATTATTACTTACAGAAATAATGATTTCGTTTTATAAATTTAATCAACAATTTATCATTAGAAAAATCTGTGTTTTTCCCTTTAATATTGGGGTTTTAAAAGAAAATTCACTCGAAAAATCAATTTAAATGAAGTCGTTGAAGATATCTTGTTCTTTTATATTTTGAAAATTTTATTGATTAACACTTGTCACTTGTTGAACTGTTATAACCGTTTTATAATTTAATTATTAATTGCACAAAACACATAATAACAAAACTTTATGGACCGTTCAAAGTGCAATTAATGACAGAAACAATAAAACCTTGTTATCAGCAGCCGACAGTCCAATTTCCCAGACACTCGTATAAACATAAATTCGAGAACAACTTGGTTCGAAATATTAGCAGCTGATAATAGTTAAAAAAGAATAAATATTATGTATATGTACTTCCAAGAATTTTTGTAATTTGTACAGAACTATTTAGATCTGATTTTCAGTTCGGGGTGGAAAATATTAGTTTTTTTCCAAGCCAGACTTTGGTAGAAAAAGATTGTACAAAATTTCTAGTACTCTAGAAAAACCTCTTATGCAAGAAACCTCATACAAAATAGTATCGTTCATAAAAGAATTGTTAAATCTTAATTTGTTTTGTTATTGGCACTGTTGGCACTATTATTTTGGTCTCTGCTGTGCTTTTTTGTCTCGTCGGCTACCTTGACACCACTCGGGGAGTGCAAGAAGTTCCGTTAGACGGCGGGAAAAACAAATATAGGAAGCGATTCCGACGATGAGACAGGCACCTCAAGGTGATGATTTGGGTATTTGCGTGTGGCGGCTTCTATTGCCAAAGGTGTGTGTGCGTTCTGTGGCACGTACGCCGACCGTTGCGCGGTTGTTGTTGCCCGTTTTCATGTAATATCAGCGACTAGGTGCTCCGCCCGCCAATGGCGAACTAAAACCTTTAATTCGGCAACCAAACGCGACCAAGACCGTCGACGGCGCTGCTTTGTAATTAAGAATATAAATATCACTAAGCTAATATAGACACCTACACATTCAGACTCGGCACACGCGCACAACTACAGCAACAACAATAGAGCCCAGCAGAAATAGTTAGAATTACTAACGGAATTTATGCAACACCATCGCCTGCATTCTGCTGTCACTGGGGGCCTTTCATTCCTCCTTGCTCAATAGTTTAATCGGCTCTCCGCTCTCTCCTTCTCACCCGACTAGCAACAAAGTTACGCGATCTGTTCTGAAATTCTTTTTTTTTCGCAATAAAATGCTAGACTTTCGATTATTGTTTTTTGTTCTTGTAACCGACCAGCTGCTGCCAGCAGAGTGACCGTTTTCGAATCCCATGAAAATCCCATGAGCAGCTGTTCGACAGGCAGAGTGACCGTAAAGCTGCATTTCTGAGATACTATGAGCTGAACACCTGTTTTCGTAATTCGCACATGCTTTTGTTTGTAAATAAAAAAATTAATTATGTTGGCGCCAATCAAACATTTGTTGGGCAACTACCGCATCGTCCTGGCCAGCGGTTCACCAAGAAGGCAGGAGCTGGTCTCCATGCTGGTATGTATCACTAGAAACTTATAAATCCTGAAATCCTTAATGAGTGATGTCTTTAAAGGGCCTAAATGCCGAACTGTGTCCTTCCACCTTTGAAGAGAACCTAAACCCGGAGGACTACAAGGAATTCTCGGACTATATAGAGGCCACAGCCCTAGGAAAAGCAGAGGAGGTCTTCAACAGATTAAGCGCAGCGGGAGACAACAATAACCTGGTAGTAATTGCGGCCGATACAATGGTAACCTTGGGAAAGGAAATCTACGGCAAGCCCAAGGACGCAGCCGATGCTATCAGGATGCTTGAAAAGTAATTTATTGATTATTTCCTTAAGTACTTTACGGGTTTAACCACTGTTTCTTTTATAGTTTATCTGGAAAGTCAAACCGTGTATTCAGCGGTGTGATACTGAAACATGCCAAAGGCGTTCGCCAATTCACGGATACAGCGGACGTTTACTTTGGTGATCTGTTACCAGAACAAATCAAAAGTTATGTAGACTCAAAGGATCCTCTGTACGTCATTTAGGAATTTTCCCCAAAACCATACTCAATTATTTTCTTTTAGCGACAAAGCTGGAGCCTATGGGGTCCAGGGACCTGGCGGCGCTCTCATCCAACGCATTGATGGCGACTTTTACTGCGTGATGGGCCTGCCACTGCATCGGCTCTGTTGCGAATTAAACAAGTTATTTCTGGAAGACCTCTCCTAACTGAATTGTCAACGTCGCGCCCATCACATCCAAACTGCCTTCGATGTATGCGGCAACAAGCGTCAGAGGCTACTCACGTCCCGGTGACTTTAATCTTGGCTGATAAGCGTCTATATCTCTACGCCTTGGCGTAGGCTTGTTTGTTTTTTGTTTTTTTTTTTAGCTACATTCAATTAAAAATAAAAAATTTAATAACCGCGAGCTAAAATTATTTATGAGCGAGCATGCCACAGTGGGCGATGAGGTGTTAAGTTAGGATTTAAAGGTATAATTAATAAAAATAGTCTTAATAAATTATTAATATCTCCAGATATACTTAAAAATTATAACAGTACCTTAGTATTTTAACTATAAATTGAAAGTTGTGTTCATAGAACCACGGTTCGCATAGAGCTTTGACTTGCCTTAATCATTTACAATTCGTAAAAAACAAAGCAACTCAGCATTTTTAAAGATAACACGATTATATAAACGAGAAGAGCACAATAATTTTTTTCATGAGCTTTGCTACAGGAGAGTTAGCCCAGTAGTCTTCAAACATCCACGTGAAACGGACCGATCATGTCCCAGCATACCCAACAACCGGCAATCCCCAAGAACTGCTATCAGTTGTGGGGTGGACGCTTTAGCCAGAAGCCCCATCAAGCGCTCCAGGCCCTGAACAATAGCCTACCCTACGATTCCAGGCTCTACGCGGATGACCTGGACGCCAGCAAGGCCTATGCCGAGGCACTATACAAAGCCGGACATCTGGACGCCGCCGAAGCAGACAAGCTGGTAAAAAGCCTAGAGCTGCTCCGCTTCGATTGGGTTGAGGGAAGTGTGAAGTTCCAGCCCGGCGACGAAGATGTGCACACGGTCAACGAACGGCTGCTGGTGGAGATCACGGGCGAGCTGGGCCAGCGTCTGCACACTGGACGCAGTCGCAATGATCAGGTGGTGACCGACATGAAACTATGGCTTCGCAAGGCCATTCGTGAAACCCTGGGACGCCTGAGTCGTGTCATTGAGACAGCCACCAAGCAGGCGGATGAGAATCTGGACGTCCTTATGCCCGGATACACGCACCTGCAGCGCGCCCAGACAGTCCAGTTCTCACACTGGCTGCTGTCCCATGCCTTTGCCCTGCGTGAAGATGCCAAGCGGTTGATTGAGCTCAGGGAAAGGGCCAATGTCCTGCCCCTGGGAAGCGGAGCCCTGGCAGGAAACCCCCTGGGAATCGATCGCCTGTGGCTGGCGGAACGCCTGGGCTTTTCGAGTGTAACGCCCAACAGCATGCATGCGGTGGGAGATCGTGATTTTGTGGGTGAGTCTACCTCGAATTAAACGACACTGGATCGGCCCCTCAAGTCATTTCAAAGTCGTCTATACTGCTATTAAGTTCTATTGATTTCTTATCAGAAGATGACTTGGTAAAGATTATATGGTTAAGAGACTGATAAGTGCTATGAATTGAGTTGAATTGTTTTATACAAAAATATATGTATTTAAATATTTTTATTAAATATTCAATAATAATTAATAATTTCGAATCTCTTCTATCTTTTCCAGTGGACTTTATTTACTGCTGCTCCTTGGTGAGCCTTCACCTCTCCCGTTTAGCCGAAGATCTCATTATCTACAGCACTAAGGAGTTTAACTTTATTCGCCTAGATGATGCGTTCTCCAGTGGCAGCAGCCTGATGCCCCAGAAACGGAATCCCGACAGCTTGGAGCTGATTCGGGGTATTTCAGGAGTCATCACCTCCAATTTAACAGGAATTATGATGACCATCAAGGGTACTCCGTCCACCTATAATAAGGATCTGCAGTTCGACAAGGAGTATTGCTTCCAGTCCTTTGATAAGCTGTCCCAGGTCCTCGAAGTGACTGATGGGGTCGTGTCGACGATGCAGGTGCAGCGTGATGTGATGGAGTCGGCCCTTAGTACGGATATGTTGGCCACAGATTGGGTGAGTTGCATTGTCTTCTTCTTAATTATTGATTTTGTTGTATTTTTAATTTTATTGTATTATTCTTCAGGCCTACTATCTTGTTAAGAAGGGAATTCCCTTCCGTCAGGCCCATCATTTTATTGGAAAAGTAGTTTCTCTGGCCGAGGGGCGCGGCGTGGGCATCACAGAGGTGCCACTAGGAGAGCTTCAGGCAATATGCCCCGCCTTCGGAGCGGACATCGTTAGTGTGGCGGACTATGCCAAGAATGTGTCGCAGTACGACGTTATAGGTGGAACAGCAACCGCCAGTGTCGTGGAACAGCTGCGATTACTGAAAAAGTTTGCCAAGGAATTGCGCAAACAGTCCTAAGACCGAAGCTTTATTTCGTTTTACTTTGGTTTTTTGTTAACAAATTAAAATTTTACATTTACAAACGGATCTCTTTGGGTTTGCTTTAGATTTATGTATGTATATACTGGTATGAATAAATATGTCGCGTGGGGCCTAGTTCACGCTGGGACTCTGGGGCGTGTAGGTGTAGGGTTCCTGGCTGCCCTGTTCGCCGTTGCCCAACTGCTGGTATCCGGTGACTGCAGAGTTTTGGGGCGGGGCCATCTTTCCCCCGGAGATGAGCACGCCGAGGCTCTGCTGCAGTTGCCAGCGACGGGCCTCCCGGATGGACTTGTTGCGGCGGAGAGTCTTGGCCAGCATGAAGGCACAGAGAACGCCCAGAAGCTGGACGAAGGCCACTGTGGTGGCTCCCGTGGCAATCAGCATGGCGCTCTGCGACACAATGAAGTTCATCTTGCGGAAGCAGCCATAGTCGAAGGTGTCCAAGCAGGTGACCTGGAGGGAATCGTTCTCATCCTTGGCCAAATTACCGCAGCAGGAGTTCGGCACAACCACGTCATCGGCGGGCAGGCTGGAGTTCTTGTTTGGTCCATAGTACTCCTTCCAGTCTTCGGGCTGGTTAACACCGCAGCACTGAAGCTGTAAAATGTTCATTGATTAGCAGAGTTCTAGTAGTTTCTTGAAAAAAACCTACTCCGGACTGCATGAAATCCACACCAGCTTGCACATAGGGATCGTTGTCGTATTCGGCCAGGGCTTCGTGCATGGTGCGCATCAGCATTCCCTTCACCTGGGACTGCATCACGAAGGCGGCAATGGCTGCGGACACCTCCAGGATGAAGACCAGGAACAGGCACACACCATACTGCAATGGAACATATCATACTTAATTTTTGTCCATATGTCTATGACTATTATCCTTACCAGGTTGATCACCATCACACTCTCCTTAACGGCTCCATAGCCGCCCAGAGTGGCCACCGCAATCAGAATGAATCCGATGGCTATGAGGAGGGCCGGAGGCGACGAGAAGTGTCCATCGATGAAGAGGCTAAAGTCTCCAAAGATCGCCTGGATCGTTGTTCCCACCATGATGAGTAGGACGGCGGTCAGCTAAGAGGGAAGAGGGAAATACTCATGTCATGTCACAACAGCTTAGCTTTTGGAGTGTGAATATGTGAGCAGATTTGAAGCGATGATTTGCGAGACATGCAATCCCTATATAGTATTCTATCTGGCAACTAATACCCCCTTTAATGTTATATGACATTGTGTAACGAGCAATATCTTGCCTTAGAAATAAAAAAAAGAGAACTATTACTTTAAAAATATTATTTAGGCGCAAGGAAAATATATATAATACAAAATTTAATATATTTTTGTTGATAGTCTTTGAAATAAAAAATTTATGATACAATTGATACCATTTTTTTATTTGAGTGTATGTTATTGTGATGATGAAATAGTTAGCAGTTGTTGACCAACGACAAAAATCACCTTCGATTTTTTGTTTTGTAATGTAATGTTTGCTTAAATTAATTGGAAGTTTAAAATAGCACAGATTTTGTTTCCTTATATGCATGTGGATGTATTTTTCCATCACCAGAATCGAACTTCAATACATATTTGGGAAATCGCTATCTTATCAAAATGAGGGTACAATTTATAGACTCACTCAAACTGGAGAGAAAAAAGTTTCAAAAAATATCAATATATGTATAGTAAAACAAAAGCTTTATGTGTGGTTTCAATATTCTCATAAATGGGCCAATTAAACTTAGCATTTAACTTAATAATTGACACATTTTTAATTATATGGTATATCTTAGATCGTAATAGTGGTGATATAATTATCTCAAGTGTTTCTAATCTTATTCAAACAAGACCCCGCCGAAAAGAGGAAACTTAACTTTGTTCTTGACCCGTTTCTCTTTCCCTAATAAGTATTCTCTTTGCTCTCATTGGATCTCTTATCAGCGATATACGTAAAAGTTAAATGATTCAAAAAAAAAAAAAAAAAACAAAAGCAAAAACCTACACCCACACAATTCCATTACTGATAAGAAATGCGGTCTATTTGATAAAAATGAAACGCGCAGAAATAGGAAAAATGACTCAAGATGGCGGATTGTGAATCACGGAGTTCGTAATGGCCTGGAGGATCAACTCACCGCAAACATAAAGCTCACAATGATGAGCATATACTTGGCGCATCGCATTCCAGAATTCAGCTGTAATTCCCGATTGGCCATTGTGAAATTTTTGAATTCCCGCTGGTATTAAGCTGGAATATGTAAACTTTTAAATAAGAGGCACTTTCCGATATGAATATAGTATATTGTATATCGGTGACTTTAATAGGCCACCGACCGTACACACGAGCAGTAACGTACTTTAACTTTTGCTAGTTACCCGTGAACTGAGTGGGGACCTGAGTGTCGGAGCTCAGAACGCAATCACCTAACAGGTCTCTCCGGCGACAAGTCGGTCGCTCTCCTACGCTCCGGCAGGTGTTGTCTGGCCTTACCACCCCCTGTTCCGCCCACTCATTACTACACATGAAAAAAATATTATTTCCAATCAGTTTAACCTCAATTCTCCAACCTCAGGCCTTTTAAATAAGAAAGTATATTCTTGATTAAAATTAAATAAATAAAATTATTAAATCTTTTATTAAAAATATAATAAAATTATAATTAATAATAGTATTATTATGTATAATATTTCCCTTCGAAGCAAATCGATTTTTTGGTTAAAGAGTCTATTAAACATGCGCCTACAGTGCGTATGATTGATTTTTTGTCGTTTTCTATAGTAAAATAGTTCCATATATTTTTCTCTGTGCACCTGTGACTTCCAATAGCGGGAAAACTTTCCAAGCGACGCTTATCAGGCAGCAATTGTTCATATTCTTCCAGTTTGACAAATAGTATATAAGATAATGGTTTCCTTGTTTTCATTAAGTGAGTATTTTGCAATGAATTGAATTACTGAAATCGAATATTGGAAGTTTTCGATTGTGCTGGAATACCGTTAATGGGGCTACCACTAAAACTAATACCACCTACTAATTTACTTCTATGTCTTCCCTGCAATTACATTTACATACATACATGCACTGCTTTTCAAGTTCACTAGCCAAGGTCGCGGGTCTAAATCGAGTATATTATCGATTTGAATTCATTTTTAAGTGAGTCAACTTTTATGGTTTATCGATTTTTTAATCGGCCTGCATTTCCGAATAGTTTGAATTATTCACGGGTAAACACAGGTGTGTTCACTCGTGAGTAGTGTGGTTATTTGGCATGATTTTTGAGACAATAAGAGCAAATATTATTATGACGAATTCCTACGTTCAGGAACTATTGAATACTTCAAAAAAGGTGTGGGTAATGTTGTATATAAAATTGTGGGCTTTAAGATTTCATAAAGTTGTATTTTCCTTCTAAAAGATCGAATTTTCTAATACATATATATATATGGTAATATATAATTATATGTCTAGTATAGTATTAGAAATGGATATTATTAGAAAATAGTTGGGTTGTAATGAAACTCAAGGTTTATAGTAAGACGCATTTCTTAATCGATAATCTTTTGTTTTTTTTTTGTATACAAATAACATTGTGTATGTATTTCTGTTCATAGTGAAAAAGATTTACAAGTGCAGAATAATGCACTGAATTTTATTGACTCCAAAAGCTCATTCGATAAGATTGGCTTTCTGGAATTCAGCCAATAGTACCGCAACAATAAAGATAAGTCAGAGAAATGGTTCAAAATTAAAAGCCTACTGAAAGTATTTCGTACATTTTTCAAAGGTACATTTAAGTTACCAATATTTTATTTATACAAAGTCATATAATCAGAATAATAGTCAAAAGTAGCACTAAGGTTCTAGTCAAGCCTTAAACGTATAGGTCAGCACTCAGCTTTTGTGACGAAACTCTTACAATGGAGCTTAGATAAAACCAGTGATGCCGTTACGGATCTTGATCTCCCGAGCTATGTAGCAGGCGAAAATGACGCCGAAGAACTGAAAAATATAAATTGGTTAATCAGTGATGTAAAAGCAGCGTTATTTTTGTAAAAATTACCTGCAGGATGGCAATGACCACGCCAGCAGCTCCCAAGCTGACTGCGTGCGCAGCAATGTAATTGGAGAAACCTCCGAGACAACCATCGACATGGCGGACTTCCGTACTCGCCACATCATTCATGCAAGAAAGGATGCCCACCTGTCCCACTACGGGACTGCAGCACGAAATGGGGAGTTCTCCTGAAGGGAACTTCTCCTTCCAGTCCATGTAGTTGGTAACGCCGCAGCAGTCGAAACTTCGCTGAACGTCGTCCCAAAGAGCCGTGGTTGGGTTTTGTGTGGCATTGTTGTATTCCGCCATCGAAGCTTTAAGCGATTTTTCGATTAGGTTAGAGGCATCACTGCGCAGAACGTAGCCGCTGATTCCAGCTGCAAGCTCCAGGATGAAGATGATGGCCAGCATGATCGAGAAGCTTAGGACCAGACAGTAGTTCTCCTTGAGTGCTCCCCAGCATCCGAAGAATGTGATCACGATGATAAATGCTCCAATCACGATCAAGAATGTGGGGATCGAGAAGAACTTTCCGGCTAAGAAGAGCTCATAGCCTGTGTAAACCGCTCCCACTCCGGCTCCAACAGCTATCAGAATAATACCCGTGATCTGAGAATAAAATATGTATTATCATCAAAGTAATCAAAGCGAGCTTGCTAAAAATATTTTAAGAAGGTATTTCCTTTGCTATCTATAAGATAAAAATATTTTGGGAATATTTCTAAAAAAATAATCCATTAAACTAAATATATTTGTTTGGTATTACAGGTCGATTTATTATTTTAAAATTTGATAAGATAATAATAGATTCTACGGACATATTGGGGCATAAACTTATTTAATTAAAGTCCTTAATGGAGTATTGTTGAATAAATGAAAATAATATCTAGAGCCTATGTTAGGATAAGCTTTTTATTAAAATTTCCAAAATATTAATATATAATAATATAATATAACATTTTTATAGGAGGTATAAGTTTTATCGAATATGTCTACTAAATTAAAAATTAGGAAAATGTAACTATCAGTCTGCTAAGTGATTCCCCTGATCAGATTTTCCTATCTAATCTGTCTGTCCGATTTATCGCAATGTTTGACCTATGGCTGGATGAATGAGTCATCCTAGCAAAAGACTTATTTCAAAACTTACCAAAAAGATCAAATTAAATCCAAATAGGGTGTACTTCACCGCATTGGCACTGCCAGTTAAAAGAGACATCGTGCTTCAATTGTTTTAATATCTGTAAAGTCAATTATATATTAGCAGTTTTATAAACAAAGAAATTCGACTAACTTTTCGTTAGGTCAGAAACACAACCTGCTCGAAACGATTTCAAAAGTTCAGTAAAGTGTTGTGCAGACTAACGGGGAAACCAAGGAAAGTTTCATTTCTAATCAACATTTATATATATATATTTTTCTTATCAGGAAATGATAGCGCATTCTGCTTTTGTTTAAGCCAAATGTGGTCAACCCACTTATGTGTTTGTTGTGGTGATGTTGCCGAGACCAAGACAAGATAAACGAAAATTTGGAAACCGATAAGATAAAATCAGGCAAAAAAGTTTGCATTTTTGTTCAATATACTAAAATATTGACTAGTTTATTATACTTTTTTTAGTTTCATTTGTTTAAAAATTAATCTTGAATTGCAACAAAAATATCAATAATTTTGATAACTATGTTTCAAAACAGACGTAATATTAAGGCCTTTAAAACCATCAATCATCAAACAGCGTGCGTCCCTAATGCATTCGCAGTTCCTACCAATATTCATTGTTTTGTTTTAATCAATTGTTACATTTATCATCTGATAAGAGGGCCATCTGGCCAAGGGTTCCTTCGATTATCAGATTGGTGACTCATTTGTGTGTCATAACTCATTGCCAATGGTTATTAAGCACTTTATATGTATATATTTCTTTGCACTATTTCCACATATTATTTTAGATTATTTTGGATATCCAGTTTGCACTTTAAAATTTCAGTTTGATACAAAAATGTCATATTTATGGCCATGTTGTTTTGGATTTCATTTAACTGTTCTACTTACCGTGCAGCAAGTGGACAATTTTTAATTTGACGTGACGGCGGTTGGACAACAACTGAGAGCCGGCCTGCTCATGTGGGATTATTTGGGAACGAGAGGCACTTCAAAACCCCGCGTAATCGCGTTGTTGGTATGAGTTTAGTGATAAAAAATTAACGTACTAGTGTATGAAGAAAAACTTGGCAGAAAAGCTGCTAAAAAGCTTTTCAACGAGCTAACATAGTTCTGCGAAAAAGAGAATTTTTACCAAATACTACAGCTTTTGCTATTTTTTTTTGTTTTGGATGAATTTGTTTTAAAAATTGTAAGTTTTTGTTGTTCCAATAACCCAATAAATCACCAACACAGAGAAATTAAAGAAAAATATAAATGTAATTTATGTTTTATTCACTTTTTCTTGTCGTATACTAAATGCTATCGAAAAATATATATGAGTATCATTTGTTATTTTTAGTGTTTAGTTTTAAATTTTTAGTTTTCATTTTGGGGATTGGCTGGCATAATTTTTAATACTTGAATTTCGAGTGCAATGCCAAAGCGTGGGGGTGAGCGTGTGAAAAATGTGAGGGAAATGCGAACAGGAACTGAACTGGAACATTCTCAAAGTCACATTCATTTTTGGGGTCGAACATTAGACATTCGGTTAGTTAACCCTTGCCAACTTTGCGTAATTTCTTTGAAATTTTTTTCACAATGCCCGAAAATTTCAAAAATTACCATTAAAGTCTTATCGAATCAGGGGGATTGTCGTTCATGTGTTAGTGGCTAATTGCATAAGTAAGTATATCAATTAAATTAATCATTTAATGTTTTAGTAGTTCGTTGCTTCGTCGGAGTCCCCATCATTATTTTCTATCCTTGCCGTGGCGATCGCGTTGATGCCTGCTGGCCGCAATTGTGGTCGTTGTCAGGCTGTGCACATGGTGCGGCTGCTCCCGGTGGCCATGTCCCGATCCGTGGTGCTTGCCACTTCCGCCGCTGAGCTGGTTCTGATGGTGTCCATTCAGTGTGCTTTTACCGTGTCTGTAGAAACGGAGAAAGGGTAACTAGTTAGCATTTTGTGGTGAATGTAGGAGACAAATATTTTTAATATATTTTCTACTATTTTATCATTTTCAAAGTTCTACTTCAACTACGGAGATCCAGTTGCTAAAGAAATATAGAATAGAGCAAGGCTTAATGTCATTGATGTCGTTTGGATTGGAGTTGTGCTTCGTTTTTTGTTTAATTCCAATTTCTTTGATGATTTCTGTTGATCTTTTTCTGGTTTCCAGCAACATGTTCATAGTCAGTTTTAGAGTTGATTCTACTGATAGAGTGGAGCGAGTTTCGGTTTAGTTAGAGATTAAATAGAGTGAGTTTATATTAATTGCCAACAAACATGCAAGCTCAGACTAGAGTTTAGTTGTTATTGAAACGTAGAAACCATATTAGTTGGGGGTTTGGCTAAAAGTTCGTTTCAAGGCTACGTTATGGGGAATTAATTCAAACGCTTAATCATAATTGGAGAGATTACATACTGTTCCAGGTAATACCAAACATGCAATACTGGGTGTTAGGAAAGAAATCAAAATTTTGAAAACGCTTACGCTGTGAAATGTAAAAACAGAACCAGACAGGCTCTTTTGTGATTGAGTGCTTTGGCCGAGTTTTGAGTTTTGTGTGCGCTCCGAAACAAATAATAATCGAAATAAACAATTAAATAAACATCTCTCGCACGTCAGTACTGATTTTGATTTGATTTGCTTGGTTTAGTATTAGTAGGGAACACAGTGGGTGGGATTAGACGGCAGTGGGATATAGAACTCAATCGTGCATTGGGATTATTTTGGGTGTGACTTTGTGACGAGATCCTTGCCGGTGTAAGCCGTTGCAAGTACATGTGTGTTTTTGCTGATTTTTGGTTTCTTGGGGGTGCTTTAAATTCGATCTCGAGTTGAGCGATTCCAGCGCTGACTATGAACATGTGCAGATGCCGAAGGGCTGGTGTGTGGACACGCTGCTGCGCACCTGCCGCATCTTGAGCCGCCTCGGCCAGCCCCCCAGCCGACCGCCCGTCCTCCTTGCCACGCCTCCGGCCGCCGCACCGCCACCAAAGAGCTGCGAATGATCGTTGCTGAGATTGTTCTGGTACGGACGCAGAAGTTTGTCCAGCTTGGCCGGACTCTCGCTGGTGGCATACAACAGGTAGTTGTCGTACACATGGCTGACACTCGAGTTGCGCTTGGCCGGCAAATAGGGCATAAAGGCGAAGCTCGAGCTGGTCGACTGGGTGGCCTTCAGGGACGGCTTCCGGCGGCCCACACTGCGGCACTTTAGCGTAGACTGGTTGGAGTAGCTGGGCGGTATCATCTCCAGCTTGGTGCGGTACTCATAGCTGGCGGGCTGGCCTACGGGCACGGGTATGAGGGATCTCTTGCGCTTGGTACGCGGCGGAGGCAGGGGAGTTTCCAGGGGAATCCCCTCCATCTCCTCAATGCTGGCATAATCAGCCTCGTTTTCGGCCTCGGCTTCAACAACCGTCTTTTCCGCCCCTTCGGTTACGTTGTTTGCGGCTTCCTGGTCGTCGGTTTGTGTATTGGCTAAATTCGTTACGTATACGTACGTCAGTTCGTTGTGCGATGTCGGTGGTGCTGATGCCGAAGTGGTGGTTGCTGTATGGTGTGCTGTGGTTTTCGATGATTTTTTAGCGCTTGTGGTGCTCGTTGTGGTTGTTGTGGACTTTTTGTGTGGTGTCGCTGAGTCATGGCTGCTGCGACTCGATCGCGTCTTACTTGGTCGGCTGCTCTCGCGGGTGCCCGAAGTGGTGTGTTCACTGTGCCTAGAGCGACTGGAGTGACCTGTGGCATAGAAATGGGAAATTCAATTAGAATGCCTCTTAAGGATTGCTGAATTTTCCAAGGAATAAATTTCTACATGAGTTAACTGGTTTAGACTAAACTGTGTACAGGTGAGAGTGTGGAAAAGTGTAGAGTACATATTAAGTTTATCAATTTTTCTGTTTAGTGACTGCTTGAAAAAACCTATATTTTAGTCTCATTATCTGAAAAACTAATATAATTTTTTTACATTTTTTTTTTTAGAAACTCTTGTCTCAAGTTAAATACTAACTTTAAATAAACATTCAGTTAAGTGTTTTAAAAAATGTATGAACGTGATAAAGTGCCTCGAACTATATATATATATTTTTGTAATTAATATTTAGTGTGCCTAGGCAGATTTTCCTGGTTTCTGCATTAAGAAAAGGTGCAACTTAGTAGTTAACTGACTATTCTGATCTTGAATTTAACTCGCAAACCTAATACGCTTATTCAGCCTCTGGGGCTGAGTGGCACCCATAATAAGCAAGCCCAAAACAAGTAGTTCTGTAAGAGATGTGATCACATTAACAGGATCATCTTTTAAATGATTTTCCTTTTGGTCAGGGCCTCATCCTTTGATTGTCTTACCTCTAGAGCGAGAGAGCTCCTCCCGGTGTTTCTCGCTTCCCCGCGAGCGTTCCCGGTCACGTTCCCGCAGTCCGCTCTGCCTTGAGCGATTCTCCTCGGCGACTCGTGAGGATCTTACCAGACGACTGCCGGAGGAGGTCTTCGTCTCACTAGATTTCTCCACCTCCCGATTGCTGTTTCGGCCGTGATGTGAGCTCCGCTTGGACTCCAGCGAAGAGGATCCTGCAGCGTGTGCACTAGATCTGGTTCGTGGTTTAATACGAAGTTCGGATTCCTGTGTCTCGTGGCGTGACTTCTCGCGCTTCGGGGTGCGCAGACGCAGACGCTCGGCCCGGTGTTTAGTTGCCATCTGGTCGTCAGAGGAGCCACCGCCTTGGGTCATCGATTCGCGAGAGCTGGAGCGCGAACGATCGCGGGGACAGCATTCAATGGAGGACTGGGATGAACTGCGAGCTCTTGTGGGCGATGGCGTCGACTGTCGGGAATTGCGTCGCGCTTCCGAGGCAAAAGTGCCACGGGCCACACCCAGAGACTGGGAGGCAGGGTAAACCTTTACCTTCTCGTCGATTGTTTCCAGGGGCTTAGAGCTGCGACGCTGCAAGGAGCAGGATCGGCGCCGCTGATCCTTGATAGCCGCCTCGTCGGAGAGAGCCTGCCAAGGAACACAAAAGGGAATTAGTAAAAAACTACAAATAATTATGAATATTGTGATGTTCCACCTTCAAAGTTTGATCAGCGTTGCGAGTCATTTCGCTCAGGATCTGTGCATCTCTTTGCAGGTCGCGTTTCCGTTCGTAGCTTCCTGGTGATCTTGATCTGGATCTATCTGGTGACGGAGAGGGCGATTTCACCCGGAAAGTGGTGGTCAGCTCGTTGGCAATATTTTCGTAACAGTGCTCCTCGTTTTCGTTTTCATCCTCATCATAGTCGTGGGTCGTTTTAATGTCATTGTGCTGCGGGCTGCTGTGCCTCAGCAAATCGGGTCGATCGTTGAGTAGTTGCCACTTGGTGGTGGTTTTCGTGGTGCCATTGCTGCTGGCCTCCTCACTGTGGATTGACCTGCTTCGTGAGGGAAGAGTCCTGCGGGGATTCGTAGAGCCGGTTGAGAGTTTCGTTTGCGATGCCTGCTGCTGTTGAACTCCAAAGTAGGACAGTTCATGTTCACGCAGCTTTCTAGCCCCACGAGCTTCTTTGATTATTTTCAAGGTCTCGCTGCTTGAATCTTCAGCAGCATCCGCAGGAGCTTGATCATGGATTTGGGGTTGGATGAAAAGAGTTCTGGGCTTGGCAACCGGCACCAGTTGGCCTATGCGCAGAGTGGGTGGTGTGGCCTTGGGCTTTTCCACACGAGGTGCGTGGAGTGCAATGTTCATCACATTTGATTTGGGTAGATCTGGAAAAAAAGAAAGATTTTAAATATTGAAAGGAAACTTATATTTAACAACTATTTTCCCCCCAAATTTTAAGAATATATAAAGCTTTTGTATTTCTTTTCCTAAGTCTTAAATTTCTGTCGAACGATTCCTTGACTGAACTCCTCTAACTCAACCCTGATAGAAAGTGTTAGATGTCAGCGTTACCTGCTCGCTGCAGAATCTGATCTTGAGTCTCAATCTTCCAAATAGTGCGCTTGGCTTTCATCCGACTCCAGCTGCTGGAATACTCGCTGCCCTGAAACACTTCCGCCGGGCGCTGCTGCTCTGGGGATGAGCTGCCCTGGGTGCCGCCACCGCTGTCACTGTTGTTGTCCCGGAAGTACCGCTTCACCTCTTCGTCGGCACTGTCCTCTTGGTCTTGATCCTGGTCGGCGGCATCATAGAGCCTTCGCAGCTGAATGAGCTGCTGGCTAACTGGGATCTGTGTGTTGCCCAGCAACTTCAGACGGGGGGGAGCGAGCGGAGTACGGGGCAGGGAGTCGTACAAGGCGCTGCCGAAGAGATCGCTGCTGGTGATGGAGGTGGTGGAGATGGTCGAGGGGCGGCGGGAGGGGATGTACCCCTCCTCCTGGTAGCTGTGCGAGCGCAGCATAGGTGTGGGCACCACGATCGTCGGCTGGACCAGGGCGGACTCAATCGAAGCTATGCTCAGGCGCCGCATGGCCTCATCGAATTCGCTGGCCGATCGCATGGTGCGCATTATCAGGGACGTGGACTTCAGGCCCTCGTCCAGGATGCGCTGGTGCTGGCGAAGATCCTCCAGCAACAGCTCCTGGGCGCTGGGACGACGATGGCGGTGACGTTGCTGATGCAGATGGGTGCCTGTGGTGGAAATGTGCGGAAAGTGTCGTTGGTGGGGTTGACAATTCATGGTTCGGGCATTTTTTGGATTTTTGGTTTAGAGCGTGGTTATCGAGCTTAGCGAGTGGGGTTAGATGTAGCATTAGATGTGGTTTAGAGAAGCGCAGCCAGAGTTCACAACATGCATTAAAATACAATCGAGAGTACAGAGTTCAAGTCAAGTAGAGGAGTCCATGGCTAAAACCCAGATAGTCATACAACATATTTCAGTAGACAAGGTAGGTACTACAATCTACGGGCATTCCAACTATCTAATCAAATATAAACTTAAAATTATTGGAATATTCAAGGGATACCAACCTGCATCAGGCCAATCTTCGGAGGCTCCCAGGCTCACGTTGATCTTGGTGGAATACCCATTGCCAGACGGCGAGGGTTGCGGCTGGTGCTGCCGTTGCTCCACAATACGAATCCGCTCGGCCACCGATTTAGTGGTGATCGGGGAGACACTGGTGGTGCCTAAAGACGAAACGTCATCCATTGTATAAAGCCTAATTAGAATATCAGATTAGTAAGTACACACCACTATCCCTGGCGGAGGGACTCTCCCGATCCGTCTTCATGGCCGGCACACTCCACAGCACATCGGCGCTCTCGATATTCTCGCCCAGATGGTAGGGCTTCGGTTTAACGGGCTTGTTTTTCAGGATGCCCCGGATGTTGGACAGCTCGTCCGTCTCGTTGTCCGTGGTGTCCACACCGCTGGTGGAAGTGTAACTGTTCCGCGAGGTGGACTCCATCAGACTGTAGCGGGGCTCTGTGGTCACGGTTACTTGTGAGCTGGATAACGTGGAGGCGGCGGAGGAGGATGTGGAGGAAACGGTGCTGCTGCTCCCTATAGCCGACTGAGTGGCGACTTGCTGGCTGACCACCTCCGGTGGATCCATTAGAGTGGCGCGGTAAGCCACGGTGCTCGTTGCAATCGTCTTGCGCCGTTGGGAATCATCTCCGAACTGGGTTACACTATCGTTGGTGCCGCTGACTGTGCTGGCGGATTTCACCAGACTCTGGAGCGGTCCGCTGGCGGTGCGACGGCGCCGGCGAAAGTTTTGCGTCGGCGGCGGCTTTCCGTCAGTCTCCACGATGTTCACCCTTCCCGATTCGGCAGCAAAGTGAACCTCCGTCTTGCAGAACTCCACTCTCTTCTGGGCACTGCCCCTCTGAAGGTGATTGTTGAAGCTCGAGGAAGTGGTGGTGCTGCTCCTGGTCACAGTACCCCCATTAACGTGAACCTGGGATGTCTTCCGCAAATCACGCCAGGTTTCCTCTACGGCAATCGAATGCCGCTTGCTGAGCTCACCTTCGGTGGGGCTGGGCGAGATCTGAACTGGTTTCACCGCCCTCCCGAAATGTATAATGGTGCCACCGCCGTTGTGGGGCTGTTGAGGCATCGTTGCTCCACTCCTCTCCGTGGGCGACCAGTTTCCGAGTTGTTCGCCCGAGCGGCCCAAACCGCTGTCCGTCGAGGCGTCTACGCGGAAAATGCTTTTGTCTTCCGGTGGTGACATCTTTTCAAAGCCGTAGGACTTGCGACGCAAGTGCCACTCACTGGAACTGGTGTCCTTCTGACGTTGGCGCGATTCCAGACTATGGGTGTTGTGGACAGGCCTGAAAGCGGAAGGAGCCGGCAGCTGGGGAGCAGCTAGCTTCTCCACGGAGGGCTCCTTCTTCTTCTGGTGGTAGGCCAAGAAGTCCTCTTTGTAGAGACTCTCGTCAGAGAGTTTCTTAAGCTTTCCCCGAATCTCTTGCAGGGATTCGGCGGTGAGAAAGGTGTTTCGCTTGGCCACCGTCGGCTTGGCCGTGGGAGAGTTCAGAATGGTGTCCAGGGCGGCCAAATCCACGTGGTTGTTTCGCATGGCCGTGTTCAGCCGCCGACCGTTTTCCAGTTCCGCCCGCAAACGGGCGACACTCACCGAATTCCCGGGCAGGTCCAGGGGACGCGGGCGAGCGGCCACTGCCGGGGACTTGTAGTGCTCCTGGGACTGGAAGGAGCGGCGCAGTTTGCTGACCCGGCGCCACTCCCCCGTTGGCTGCTCACTCTTGTCCTCGCGCTCCCAGTCGTTGCTGAGATCGTCCGTGGAGATGGAGCGGGAGCGCTGGAGCATTGAAGATCCGAGCGAGGGCAGGGGCGGGGCGTAGACCGACTGGGACACCTGCTGGCGACGCTGGTGGCGGGCAGTTAGCCTGAAAAGTGATCCGAGTGGTATCAGGGTCGCTGGGGGAATGGTTAAAAATTTTCGGTAACTTACCGCAACTCTTCGTCGTCGTTGTTGCTGTTCCCGTCATCGTTATAATGCCGGAAACTTTCCAAATCACGACGATGCGTTGGCGGAGTCGCAGCTACGTCAGCATCTGCTCCACCAGCAACACCAGTACCAGCACCACCCACGCGACTCGGTGGCTGGCCATATAAGTCAGCCTGCTTGGCCCAGGCCGCTGGCGATGATGATGATGACAATGATGACGATGATTCTGGTCCGACAATTGCATGTAGGCTTATTTTGCCCGCACTTCTGTGGGTGTGGGTGTTGCTCGCTTGTGCCGCTGCAGTTGTTAAATTTGAATTGTTGCTGCTCTGGCTGGAAATGCTCGAGCTGCTTTTCTGTAAATGGCAAGCAAACAACAACATCAATGGCGAATTGAAAAATAAAGTAAAATCGGGCACAAAGAAGAGCTCAGTGGAGCTGATCTGAGCGCATTATGGGGCTCTCGAGGGCGGGTGTGTGTATGGTACCGGGTATGGTTATCTTTATTGACGTTTTTGTAATTGCCACTCTGTGGCAGTGGGTGCATTGTTTGACAGGAACTGCTTGAGGAAGCTAAGCACTTAAGACGCCTATAAATACACATACAAGTGATCGAGTGCAAACCAAGCAAAAGCTAATGAATTTCCGCATTCAATATAAATGGTTATGATTGATTTAAATCCTGTAACATATTGCAACCCATATCATGGCTTAGGTTTAAAAGCTAAATGATTGATTATCGAGTAATACAAGGTTATATAAATTCTATTTCAAAATTATATTTATAGAATCATCTCAAAGAGCCTAATAAATCAAAAATCATCCAATGAGTTCCCAGAAACTTTATTCTAAAATTTGCAAAACAAATGCGGAATTCCCGAAAAGAAATTTTCGTGTCAAGATTGATGACCAGAACCGACTGACGATTGTGGGCGTTCGTCGTGTCTCCAGACACTTTCGCAGTCACTTTTGGGGCTGCCCAATAATTAGACACTTTTTACAACTTCGCCTAATGAGTGAGACGCGCTGCTGGTGAAATTTCCTTTGTGGTCATGACCCAGATGTCCGGCTGAAGTGGCAGGCATTGCCTAATTGAGCTGGTCTATTATTAACGATTTCCATTCGATTTCGATGCAGAAGCTGACTCAATCCACCATCCAAGCCAGACTGGCTGTGGGGGAGTGTCGTCTCTGGATGGTCTAGCAATGTATACTTTGATCAATGGCATTTGGCCAATTGCGGAATTTTGTTAGTTTTCTTTAGTAGCTGTCGCATGTTCTTAAATGATGCGGGGTAATTTATTAAAGCAAATGAAGTCATTCATTAGAGATCGCTCACTAAAGTTTATTTATAAATTTAATTATCAGCTGTTTGAGAACAACTACAACTTTAGGAGATGCCTATTACCAACTTGCAAGATAATTTTACGACCTCGACTTAGTACGAGATTTCAATAATTTTCCCAAAGGCCCTGAGCTAGGTAGATTTTTTTGGCCACTACCATTGACCGCTGTTAACAACTGGCCATTTTTGGTCATTGCCATGGCCGTGGTCAGGAGACTACTCCTCCGAAAAGAAAACCGACTACAAAAGCAAGATGGGAAAAGCAAACATGGGCGCATGCTAATGAGCCGACAAGGCGAAGCAGAGTGGCCGGGGAGGCAAGTGAAAAATTGTGGACTACCGCGTTTTAGCCTGGCCCAAGCAACTTACCATTAGATTGCTCAATTTCTGGCTGGGAGCCGTATCGGGTAACAAATTGAGGCCGACTCTATGCGAATACTCGTCTCTGTTTCTGTTTCTGTTTGTGTCTTCGTCGTCGTTGTCGCTCGCCTCGCCATTAATCACAACAAAATCAACATGATCGTCGATGAGCTCCTGGCTCAGCGCGGATGCGGATGCGGACGCGGATTGGGCTGTAGATGCGGATGTGGCTGAGGAAGCGGCGCGGACGATGCCAGCATCGCTGCCGCTTAGACTGCTATCGTCGCTCAGTTCGCAAATGTCAACGCCGGATGAGGCGAGCGGGGAATTTGGGAGGGGATGCGAAGGTGGACCGTGGCCATTGCTGGTGCGGTGGGTGGTGGTGCAGGTGGTGGTGGTGGATGTGGAGGAGGCCCACGAGGAGGAGCTCTTCTGCACCGTCTGGGTGCGGATCACCTGCATGGCGCCGTTGGCGGTGCGGGCCTTCAGCACCTCCAACTGTTTGCGTTGTGTGTGCTGTGTGCCGTTCGGCTGTGAGATGTTTTGGGAGTCGGATATCTGGGGAGAGAGTGGAGAGAGAGAATCGGGATTCAGTGATGGCAGGATAATGATAGGGATCAGTTTAAGGATTATCGTTAAGATGGTTTCAGTTTGTTACGGGATTGGTTTTTGTACTTTGGTTTGACTGTAGTTTTCCTGATGGCGGTATTGTGGCGCATACTATAAATTTGAGCAAAGCCTCAGGCTCTTAAAAATAATCTTAAAATATCTCAAGAAGTAGCTCTTTTAGTTTAAAAATTAAACGGTTCAAGTTGAGTCAATTTTTAAGCCTTTATAGGGCTTGGCTTGTCTTTTATAAGAGCTCCATAATGAGTTTATTGAAGGATATGGATTCTATGGTCATGTGTATGTACGTTTTTCTAACCCCTTTATAGAATGCAAACCATATCATGACTAATTCAGATTAAAGATAAGAACTTAACCATTACTCAAAGTAAATTTAGAAGTAATTAAATAAAAACTCTGGAAACCTTCTATTCCGCCTGATCTAATTGATTCATCAACTAATACTATTAAATCCTTGTTTTATCGATTATTTGCTTTCAAATCTCTTAAAAACGAGATAAATAAAACATTAAAAAAGTCATCGCAATGTGATTGTCTAAATTTCTGCGGTGCCCGAGTGTGCGGCGTGTGTGTGGGCATGTGGTGGGTGTGTCCAATGTGGGGCGTAAAAGCGGAGTGTCGCATGGCATTCGGCCGTTGGCAACGGGGCGTATGAAAGTTGCCAGACGAAACACTTGACCGTCAAGCGGCTACCCTCCCTTTCCCGTACACAGCATGCTCGGCGGCTCCTTGGTGGAACGGTTTGCTGGCTCTTATCTCGACAGCTGGGCGTGCTCGGGACCGTTTGCCCAACACACGTGACCAAACGCCAGCCACAAATCAAAAGAGTCTCGAGAGCGATTGCATTTGCAACTGCAACTGCACCGCAACTGCACCCCTTTGCACCCATGGACGCGAACAATTAGCAGATCCGTTGGATTCGATCGTGCCATGACACACCGCCGAAGAAAAGACTCGTGGTCCATAGACCCATAGACAAAGCACACTCGAATCACTGGCCCAAAGATCGATTGTGGCAATCGATTGCATTGATGATTTATGGTGCTAAAAATGCATAATATACTCGAAATGAAAACTTAACCCGCCGGTGTCCAGTTCGTGGCGTATTCGTGTCAATGACCATAAGGCAATTGCACATTTGACTATGAGTCAAAGTGCAGCATTGTTTAAATAGAATATCCATAAAAAAACAACACAAATTTTGAATGTTCTCCAAAGCGGTAGGTAACAAAGAAAACATTTAAATTGTATGCATATTGCGGGTTGAGTCATTTCTGGGTTCTTAACAATTCGGTTCTAGAGACTTCAGCTGCAAGTTGTAATAATAAAGGTATTATATGCAGGTAATTCTTTGGTTTTTTTTTAATTCTTATAATTTTTAATGGTTTTAAAACGTTGTCAGACCCTGTAAGCTTTTGAGTTCAGGGCTAACCCTTCAAAAAGTTCTCAATCAGAGCCTTTACTTATTCACTCTGGTGTCCGGTCTCTGGTCGGTTTCTGAGTCAGACACTGATTTCCATTCGGCGACTGCCTCTTCGAGCTCCCTATTGACCTCAGGGCGACAATGCATAGTAATTTCAGCGGCTCCCTAAAGTCACACTCATCCTTGAGCCGGAGCAGCACGGATGGCGACTGTGACCAAGAAAGAGGGCAACATTGCGGGGCAGGCATAAATTATAAGCCGGGCTCTGGCCCCCGGGCCATGCACGTTCTGCCGGAGTTTCTCACGATGGTCACGGGGCGGTAGTGCGAGGGGGAGGAGGTGGAGGTGGAGACGACTCTTGGGGAGCTGTGGCCGATTTTCCGCAATGTATTGCACTTTTCAGTGTGTGCGCAAAACGTCTATCGATGACCTCTTTTCCCAGCAAGCCGAAAACAGCAAACGCCAAATGCTGTTCGCTTTTCGTTACTTTACTGTCTTGTTGTGCCATTTTAGTCCCGGCTGGCATGTGTAGGCTGGCTGGCTGGTTGGTTGGTCTTGATCTTGGTCGGAGTCTTGTTGTCTGCTCGGGCTAATTAAGCTGTGCCAATCTGCATGGCCCAGGGGGTGTCCAATCAAAGCCCCAGCTGGCGAAAGAAAGCCAACTGTAAATGAATTATTTTGGCCTGGTAATAGTCAGCCAGCCGGATCAGTGTCATGAATAGCCTCAGCTGGGCAAATGGGCAACTGGGCAGCTGATGCAGATAAAATAAAGCCCAAAAACATACAGCTGAGAAAAGGAAACCACCAAATTGAAAATACCAAAGTCGAACGAAGCAAAGTCAAGTTGAAGGTTCAATGAAATGCAGAGACTTGCCACGACTTCCAAAGCCCAGCTTTCGCATATATTATATGCCAGCCGAAGTCGTGATGATGTAGAGGAAGACTTTGCTTATATTTCTGCTCTTCGGTTGGCAGAGTACACTTGAAAAAATACCGACTTCATTAAAGAGAATATACTTTCAGCTAACTTTTCTTTGTTTAGCTGTTCTATTTTTAAATAAGTTTTTTTTCTAAAGATCAAGTTTTTAACTCAAAAGTTTATTTACAATTTTTGTTTTGTGCAACGGAATGCCAAAATATTTAGTTTCCTGGGCCTGGGCCGCGCTTGAAACGAATTTAATGATGCTTCACCATCATCATCACGGTCGCAGTTGTCTGCCTGGTCGTGGCTGTCTGTCTGTGGCCACAAGATTGACTGTCTATCTCCCAGCTCCGAGTGCCTGCCACAGCCGTTCTGTGCGACTCCACCATATGCCCCATGTCGGTGTCTATCCGCCTGCCAGTGCGTCGCACCGTCCCACTGATTGGGTTCAGGTCCGGGGCATGCATGTCGCCTTTTGGGTATCTGGCTGCATGGCTGCATGGCTGCCTGGCAGCTCGCACAGATCGCCTTCATAGACATGCCACAAAGCGTTGACTCTTTTTATTTTTAGCTGGCACTGACTTTGGCACTCTATGCATTTAAAGACATGCACTGTGGCCTGACATTGTTAGGAACTTATGGTTTTATTGGTCTGGACTCTACACCAAAGCCTGAACGGTACTATGCCAGTCAAGAGAATATATTACTTTTAGTCCTGGAAAAACACCCATAAAATAATTATAAATTCTTTAATCGGTTAGACCTCTTCTTTAAGTTTCTATTTAGTACCTCAAACCCATTCACAGTCATCTTTAACCACAGTGCCCCTTAAATTGCCTTCCAAGGTTCTCCTTTGGTCCATCTTGGGCCATTTGGCTGGACCTTTTTTATTTGCCGTTCTGTGCTTTTTTAACCATAATACTATACATTTTATATGCATTATTTCTGTCACGATCTCGTTGGCTTTATATCTCTATATGATGCGGCGAGTAAATCATGTGCGCGCCCGCGTTTGCGTCATTGGAGTTGATGCCCCAAGTCGCCGATTGTTGCCAGCGCTCTCTTTCCCACCGACTTGGCCCGTCTCTCTTGGCCGCACGTTGGGCGCAGTGTGGAGTTCATTAGCGGCAGAGGAAACACTTAATTGCGGCAAGACACGTCAGTTGACATCCTCAATTAGTTGCAAGCAATTTACGTGTGGCGGCCAAGTGGCCAAATGGCTTTCGGAGCACACCGGTCGCACCCGGGCAGCACCACTGACCACAGGCAGGTCTCCACTGGAGCCGCAGCATCTTCTGACGCCCCTCTGGTTAGACTTGTGGCAACCCAGTGACCCACAAAGCTGCTGCGGCATTGCCAGCGGCTGTGTACCGTTAGCCTGAAAAACATTGTGGCAACAAGCAACCAGACTGCCGGCAAATAATTCAAAAGCTGCAACTGCAACTGCGCTTGCATGCTGGAAAATCTTACAAAATGTAAATTTCTGTTTGCTTTTTGCTGCCATTGGCCAGGCCGTCTCGCCACAATCCATAATGCTAATGAAGAGGTTGTCAGCGATCTATCTGTTGCCTAACGGTGCCTGGGTGCGTCTCCGATCTGCTGTGATCCGTGCTCTAGTCTGTGTCTGAGCGGATCGGTTATTGCCAAATTGATTTCCCCGCGACCCGTGGAGGCACTCGTGGCCGCCTTTGACTTTGTCTTTGGCATTGCCTTTGTCGGCACAAAACTCTGCGGCAAACAGCGGGACATCGGTGATATAAATCCCGGACTTGGCCATCAAACGGAGTCGTCGAGCTGCGCTCTTTAAATCGAATCTGATGCGGTCTAGGACTTGGCGGCGTATTCTTTCTACCGATCGTTTCCAGTTGATTGTATTGATCGCTTCCCTAGTCGCTCTTCCAACTCTTCCCAGCGTCGTCAGCCGCAGTGGCAACAAAGTTCAATCGCGATAAGATACAAAGTCAGCGGAATGGAACAACTTTCAATGGGATTTTTTGCCGGGCCGGCTAGGTTTTTGGTGTTTCGGGTACTCCGCGCGAATACCCTGCAGCCATAAAAGTATGTCTGAAAAAGGGCATATCGGCTTTGATCAGGTGAATGTAACAGTCGCTAAATTGAGTGACTGTTCGGTCATTAAATTATATCGAATTTAGCTTCGGGATGATTTTATTTCAAATGTCAACTTTTAGCTGATCCGCATTGGCACATTCAAGCTAATGATATGCTGTTGGGTAATGGGAGACCCTTTTAAAGTTTGCAAAACATAAAACTAACTAAAAAAGTTTGAATGCAACTTTTAAATCGTTTAATACAAGCTTGAAAACTTTAAATAAAAGTTTCCATTCATTGTCTTAACTTGTAAAAATTCTCAAACAATTTCTCAGATGACTGATCAATTCTAAGGTCAATAATCTAAAAAATATGTTTCAGTATGATCTCATCGATGGGGCAATAGGATATTCCATTGTCTCATAAGCCGATCAGCATCGATGAAAAAATCACTTAATTATTTGGATCAATCTCTTCAGATTGAGTACCGGCAATACCAGAGCCATGATGTCATTGCATTTGATGGACGTTTCGGGCCAAATGGTAGTAGGGTAGAATATCTTAGAGTCCAGATCTCGTCAAGTATGTAGTGCTATTTCAGTTGGTCCAGCCCAGTCACGCGGCGAACTAAACTGCCATCGCGACTTTATTTTGTTTTGGTTCTGGGCTGTGGCCCAAGCCGAAGTCGGAGCCATAGCACTTGAGGCTCCAACTTGACTTGACCACACACACCACACTTTATTATGGTCTGGGGAAGACGACTGCGAGGATGATGATGATGGGGTTGATGACGGCTGACGGTGGATGAACAAGCACAAAATTAACGATAGGCCCCGAAGTATTGCTTTGGCCTGCCATCTAGCCAGACATCCAGCCACAAGCACTTATAATTAACCGACAAATTCTAGAGCAATCAATGGCTCAAGCGTAGCCTAAAGACAAGTGAAATCCAAAGAATAGCACGAATTAATTACCATCTGGCAGTGCCGAATCTAAGATCTCTCCTCGACGACTGCGAAATCGATTAATAAGTGGCACAGCGTCGAGCTCTTTCCTTTCCATTCTTTCACCTGGAGTTTCCATTTATCCGCTCAGCCATTCCGATTCGTGTGACCTCTTAATTACGGTTGAGTAAAAACGGTCAACGTATCTGCCTCCATCTTCAAGACCATGTCCATGTCCATGGCTGTGTCCATGTCCATGTCGATGTCTGGGACTTGATAGGCAGTTGGGGAAAAAGCTGGCTGACACACAAAACTGGCCAATTGCACTTGCGGTATTTGCTAACCACCATCAAGCATCTGTCGCATTCCGAAATTTTTATTTTTCCAGGCGCAGTTAACGTTCCATTCTAGCCAAACTATTAGAAGTCAGATCTTTGGGGTTTTCATCTGAGGAATTTGTGTTGAACTCGCCATTGCTTTTAATTGCCACCAGCTTAATGCTGTTGTTCAGCTGTTGCCTGCGTACATATATAGTGGCTTTAAAAACCACTATTAATTTTCGTTTAAGCCTTAATCGTTCAAGTTTCCTGTTGGTATTCTACTAAATAAACTATTAACTGATTAAAATCGAACAGCAGGGTAACCTAGACTGGCAATCAAGCCGCAATTGCCACAGCCTCCACTAAATTAGTGAACGCCTCCCATTTGGAGGGTCTGGAGTCTGGAGTGCAGACGACTTTACTAGAAGGCCTTTCAATTTCATTTAAAATACGATGGACAAACAAAAAGCCCAGCAATTAGGGCTGGCCAAGAGCTGGAGCCAAGCTTCAGTAGAAGCGAGTAGTAAAATCGCTTTCGATTTATACAACTGAAACACATGTACACTATAAGAAACGGTTTTTCGACTCAACGATTTGGGTTACCAAATCGGTTGCCGATCACGCTACCATCTTTGGATAAGGTTTTTTTTTTACTCACTTTGCCGTAGCTGTTCAGTGGTCCATTTATCCAGCGGTCTGCCTCCAGTCGCCCGCTGAACAGGGCTCCGGTATTGGGATCGATGCGTTGCCATTCACGCACCTCGCGCTGGAATGGGGACCTGGAACCCCCGATCCCGCTAACAATCCCGACCCCGGATCCCGAGCTGGGAGCCGTCTGCAGATGATGATGATGATGGGGATGATGGTGATGGCTCTGACTGTGATTGTTTGTTGTGGCCACTTCCATGTTGGAGCTGGGAGCTACTGTTGTGCGCTTTTAATTTGCACGCTCGATGCGCTCGAGCTGCTTTGGATCTGCTCGCTGCCTTTCTTCTGTAACTCTGGCCGACGCTGTTGCTGTCTCTTACTCTGGCTTGTTTCTTTCTCTCTCTGTATTGCTGTATTGGAACGGGAGGCTGCACTTAGCCGCTTCTTTGTGGTCGTCTTCTTTTGGGTTTGCTCGCCTATTTCAAATTATTATTTATTGTTATTATGCTACTACCGTCTGCTTCCCAGGCTTCTTTCGTGTTTCGTTTTGGCTAAATTAATGGCAACTTTAATTTATTATCATAATAATAATTTTCTAGCTATTCTAGGCCTGCTACTGTGTGCATGTGGCTGCCTCTGCCCCGAGACCCTCTAGACCCCCCTTATAATTTCCTTGGCTTTTCCTTTTGCACGCTTTGCTGGTTATTTACTTTTTGGCTTTCACGGTCTAATTTGAGACTTTTCTGAACCAACTGTCGGTATGTGTGTTCTTCTGTGCGTTGCCTGGAATGACAAGAGCAGAGTTGAAAGAAATTTTGTTAGTTAATTATGTTGCAAAGTGTGAAATGTATATACATGGGTATAATATAGAGGTACGAGTGTGATTTTTGCTGACTAGCTAGCGGAAGCAAAGGTACTTTGAACCGAGGTGCTTTTGAAGTCTCTCCCCAGCCGAAGCCGAAGCCGTCGTGCAGATTTCTAATTAAATTTGCGGCCAACGTCCAGCGGATACGATGAGATATTCCTAGACAAAGCTATGGTGACCGAGAGCCCCCAGAGGCAGAGTCTGAGATTCTATGGTTGCCCCTCGTTCCCCTACCCGACTAGGGGCTGTCAGCGGATGTCACAGTCTATTTCCGCTTCAAAGCCTCTGTCCGCCAATCGCAAACATGTGTGTCCACTTGTCTCTCTTTTTAGTTTAATTTAATCTCTTGTTTCGTTATTATTATTTCAGGTAGTTATCCGAAAAACTACGTTTCTTTAATGCGTATACTTTTGGGGGGCTGTCGTCATATGTCAGTCACATCATTTGTAATTGTCAGAGTTATGCAAGAACTTCATTTATTTTGGATCACTGTGGTCGGTCTTCGGTCGAAAGGTTAAAATTTGGTAAAATAGCGGGGCCTAATTAATGGCTTTTAATAGTTTTATTTTTAGACTTTTATGGATTTTTACTCATATATTTTAAAGTTTTATACATTGAACCGAGAAAACAAAGCCCTCTTACCAGTGTTACACCCATTTAGACAGTCCAAAAGAGTCGGGCGGCATTAACACTGAAATGCCAGTGTCTTACAGGTCTGGAAAAATGAATTCACGATAAAACGTTAAGGCTAAATTTAGCACAACCCAAGAGTCGAAGACCAGAGTGGAAAGCAGACCAGTGGATGCAATTGGGTGGACACCCCGCCTCCTCTGCGGGAGAAACACCCACAAGACACGGAGTGAAAAGCAATTTTGCGGAATATTTTATGCGGCTTTGGCCGACCGCTAAATAGTAACTGTTACTAAGTTTTCCACAGCTTCGCTTGGCCGATCTGCTCAGGCATTAACTTCCTCATATGCTGTGGAGAGCTGGCTGGTGGAAACCCGTTTTCCCCGTTGAACTTGCACTCGTTTTGGTTTTTGGTTTTGGTTTTTGTTTTGGCGAATGCGTTGCTGAATCTCTTAGCACTTTGCCTAGAAATAAAAGCAACCTGAAATTGCGGCTGCACTTTTTATGCGATTTTACTTCAGACTTCAGTGGCACGCAGACTTACTCCACATTCACAAATTGGATTTGTATTTTGGACACGTTTTGCCGGTTTTTTTAGAGAGACTTTTTTCTGTTTATACATCCCAGTGTGCGCTAGTTGATTGTGTTAATTAAAATTTAATTAAGCGTAATTTAGAGCAATTAAGCGTTAGCATAAATTTAATGACATGGAACTGGGCGCCACGGGCAGTGGCCATTTATTATATCCATCCAAACGTTTTATTACTTTGCATATACTTTTCTAGCCAAAAGGTTATGCTGATTGCGCACGGAAAACAAATTAAATGCATTAGGTTTAGAAAATTAAAATATTGGCAATATCAAGTTTGTTGCTTAAGTCATTTGTTTGGTTCGTGGCGTTCAAAGGAGTTTTGAGTTCTAGTCTCCAAATATCATTTGTTTATTTGATCTTTTGAAGTTCTTCACTCTTTAAGTATCCCAGTGAGAACAGTAACTAACCACAGAAATACAATTTTCAAGTTGAGTTGTTCACTTTTCAAGTCCACTTCGTGGCTTTGTATCGGACCCATGTTACAATTACAGTACCCAAGTGGCTTTGAAGGTCAGTCTCATTATAATATTGTTGTTATTCACAGATTGACTGTCACCCAACCGCAGTAAGGAAATATCCCCAACTGCAGCCGTATTTTATTGTTTTCATATTTGTAGCAACTGCCCAAAATGAAAGTCATTTCGCATGAGCAGATTTCTGCGGTCGATTCCAGTCATTTCCATATCAACTCGATGCGTAATTCGCCAGAAATTCGATTGATTTTGGTGTTGCTTCACGGGTCGAGTGTTTTCTATGTAGGTTAATCCCTCATTTTTGGTTTTGTATTACAATTTTTCCCTTCCACCGCCACTTGATTGATTTGCCATTTATTTATAAATAGTTGGCTGTGCGTGGGCTAAAAAAATCGACAGCACTTGGGGCCATGTTTATTTATATACGAAATAATCAAGCCTTCAATAAAAGGTGATTGAAAAGATGTGAGGGTGTTAAATTGGCATTGAAAGTGCGTTTTTGTAAAAATATTTCCCGCGGTAAGCTCCGGCAAAAATTGGAATTTTAATTCACACTTTTGTGTATTTGCAACGCGTGCGCGAACCACGAAAATCGTGCAACAATTGACCGATATGCAAATCGGTGTTGTTACTCCAGAGACAGACTATCTGACGGACTGACAAACTGTGCAAAATTTGCATAATTGGCATTCGCGTGTATTTCGTGTGTTCTAATTTGAATTTGATTTGTGCGACACAAAAACAGAAGCAGCACGCTCCCCAAGACATGGACACCAAGTGTGAACTGAAAGGTTGGCACTTCAATGAATTGTTGGTTTTGTATAGCCAAGGCATTGAGAACGAAGCTAATATCATACCAAAATATTATTACATTTAATTTACTGCCACATTTTTGATAAAACTAGTTTTTTTGTCTACTTTTTCAACAGCTTGATAAATCATTTGTTTAAACTTCCTTTGAGGTACCATTATTTCTTATTTTTTCGGTTTTTATTCTTTTAGATTTCGGCTCAAACCATTTATTTGTTATTTATCTTTTGCTGCCTTTCAACATTAATCTTTAACCTCCAGACTTGTGTGTCTCAATCTTTGGATCAAATTCTGAACAAAAATATATCAGTTTGTTGCGTCGCTACAATTCAATTATGAGAATATTATAAAAAACGTTTTGATTGCCGCCGCAATTGAGTAGCAACGCCTCTATATGAGTCTATTGATATATCTAGCCATAAATATATCTGAATACATACGAAAGAAACCACAATTGAGGCTGGCTTCCGTCATTTTATACTTGGGCAGGGTTTGGGTACTTTACTTATTTTTTTATTGCGGAATGGATTGTGTGCGGCTTGGAAAATAATTCATTTTTAATATATTTTTTAGACTTGTTTTATTTTGAGCTGGACCTGGTTGGAGGCAGGCTTTCGTTTAGCAGCCGTTATTAGTCACACGCAAAATAATCTCAGTTCTTTGTTTGACTTCCGTATGAGAAATGGCTGAGAATAGGAGAATGCGCAAATCGGTTAATTATAGAGTCTGTGGAATACTGTAACGAGGGCTGCTAATCAGTGGCACCCGCACTTGCTTTACCCGTAGATGGCATGTGCTTTTCATTTCCATTCCCATTTAATTAGGCAAATGAGCTAATAGTCTGAAGTTGAGTTGGCATTTGAAAAGAATACGAACTTATGGGCTGCAATTTGTTTTGCGACTAAATGGCCCCCCTCCCCGAGCATTTCACTCATATTACACAATTACATAATTATAGCTTGGGCCCGGCAGAGTGCCAAAAGCAGAGACAGGTTCCAACCTCTAAGCCATTCACACTCTACCCACGGGCTAGGTAATCGTTGCCGTCGCAGCTCTGTCTCAGATGCACAGACATATCATGGCTATAAGTATAATGATAGATATACTTGTTCCGTCCAATGAAAATTGTAATTTTATGATTTCCTGCTGACGCCCACAACCAGCCGCATCAGCCCCATCAATTTTCCGCTACCTGCACTTCGGTCGCTCGCGAACAGTGCGTATGCGTAATATGCATACGCTGCGTATGCGTAATGTGCAATTTTACCGCCATCTTGCGCAACATCTCCTCCCCCGGCAGTAAAGCTGAAAGTTTATTTTCCGAAAGTTTCCGAACCTAAATATTTACGATGGCCTAAAAATGTTGAATTTGTTTGCGTCACGGTTGTCTTGATTCTGCTACCGTTATTTTTAACACTTACACTCGGCTTGAATGGCCAATTCAAATATTTGAATCTTAATTAGCGGGTTGGGGGCCAGCTGTTTGCATTTCCAGAAATGATTCATGGAGAGATTTTTGCCCATGCTTTGGCTTAGAGAATAGTTACATTTTCAACATAATAATTCAGTACTTGTGAGTCACTGGGAATAGCGTAAAAATGCAAATCTGTCTCAGTTTACCTAAGTTTAGTTCCTCGCATAAATCCCATTCACCAGGCCCAGCAAATTGAGTTGCATGTGGCGGCGCCTGCAATTGTCAGGCAACATTCGCAGCTAACCGCCCTCACAGCGGTTTGCCCCGAAAGTGAAACAAACCAATAAATAAAACCAACATCCAAAGTTTATCAGACTCGAAAAATCAAGCCGCAAAATGTATGTAACATATCTGGGTCTCCCCGCCCTTCTTTTTCTCACTCCCACATGCATTTGTGACTTCAATGTGACAAAATAAATGAGCCGTTCGGCAGTGTTCGGCAAAAAAAAAGGTGAACCAAAATCAGGAACTGCATATTAAATGAAGCGTAACGAAAGAAAAACGACAACAGGAAAGGGGTTACCGCACAGGGAGCTATACATACATAGATGGATGGATGGATGGCTGGATGGGGTTTCGTGGAAAGGGTCGTTGCAGGGCCCAAAGTTAATTACAAGTGACGCCTACCAGGGAGCCCCTGTGTGGCCCTCGACCTCAAGAGTGTCTTTTTGCCTTAAGTGAAATATGAGCTGTTAACGTATATTTTTGTGGAATTTTTTGTCCCTTGTTTCTGTTTTGTATTTCTGCCGAAACATAATTTCAGCATTGTGTTTTAACACTTTTACTTTTTGGCAAGGCAACACCGGCAACTGGCAGTAAGAAATTATAATTTACATAATAATTTGGCGCTATTTGCTGATTGATTTGTGCTGCTTGCCGCTTTTTTCTTGTCCCCGGCTAATCTACAGCCTTGAACACCTTGAACAAGCTGTGAGCGCG